TAATATTCTAGAAAGTTTTATTATTGATTAAATTTACGTGCAATCTTACCATTCATAAGAATTTTCTGTAATTTTCAAATTCTAACTGGTTGTGAGCCTAAACAAATTCAAGGAAATCTAATATCAAAATATAAATAAAGTGTATGGTTTGCCATGTTTTGAGTGTTATTCTTTATTCTTTAATTAGCTACATTTGAGTAAAATATCACCGTTCAATATATATTTATAGTTGCATCCTAAAATACTTGTGAAGTCTTCCAAATTCATTTTTTGTTTGTGTCGTTGAAATTTAAATTGAAAGAATGCGTTACATTGGAAAACTATTAGTAGAATGATATTGGATGGAGCTCTTTTTCAAGTTTACGAGTAAAAATCAATCGGAAGTAGTAATCCGGGAAACTTACGACGAATTTTAACACGTAGCGCCATCTGAGCTTAGTTTTACACGGTAGGGAAGTTTTATTCTAGGAAGTTTTATTATTGTGATTTGAATTTAAAATTACGCGTTATAAACAAGGTGGTCCTAAAATATATGTCAAAAATGTAAAGGTTGGTAGAGGGGACATAAATAAGCATATTTTGGATAGGAATGTGTGCGGTAATGACACATTAAAGCACTAGCTTGTAAAGCAGTATGAATCAAAGGAAACTGAAAGGACAAGTGAAGACAAAAGAAAATTCGATCCCCTACCGGCTCAAGGCGGCATTACCGCACGCACAATCCTATTCGAAATATGCTTATTTAGGTCCCCTCTACCTACCTTTTTATTTTTGACATATATTTTAGGACCACCCTGTATATATTATATACATATTGTACCATTCATAAAGTTTTCTGCGACTTATAAAATTCTAACAGATTGTGCGTCCAAAACGAGTTTAAAAAAGTTAATATCACATTATAAATGGATGGTTGGCCGTGTAAAGCTAAGCACAGATTTTACTAAGGGTTAAAATTCATCTTAGGATTTCCCGGTTATTATTTTCGACTGATTTTTACAACCAAACATGAAAAAGCGTACCATCCAATATTATTATACTTGTAATGCTTACAATAAAACGCCTTCTTTCATTTTAAATATCAACGAAACAAACAACAAAAGAATTCTGAAGATTCCTCGATCATGCTATAATGCACCCCAAAAAGTTACAAACAGTGATATTCTTCACAAATATAGCCATAAAAGGGATAACATTCAAAACATGGTAAACCTTACATTTTATTTGTAGTGTGATATAAATTTTCTTAAATTTGCTTCAGGCTCCCAAGCAGTTAGAATTTGTAAATTACAGAATACTCTTAGGAATGATAAATTACACGTATATTTAAACACTAATTACGATAATAAAACATCCTCGAATATTAAGCTAGGTAGCTTGTTATTAATAACATTTCAGGCACTCATCCATAGCTGAATTTGAGGGTGTCTCTGGCGGACACTTCAGATATTTTTTTTATAAGATTTTGGTCTCGAACTGAACTTTGGTAATAATATCAAAACACACAGTGCGTGTCAAAATATCCAAAAATATATACATATGCTGAAAAATATTTATTAGAAATTTTCTTAAAAAATTATTTAGATCCTGTCTCTCCATCTCATTAGCATAAGCGACGTTAAAATCGTTGATTAATAAAATATGATATAAGGCAAGATGAAAAACATCTGTGTAGTCTACATTTAACTGATCCTACTTTCGATTTCGGTTTCAAGCATTACTTTCATTTTTTTACATAATTTTATGAATAGCCGCATTTGAGGGGGTCATTTGGAGGACACTTTAAATATTTTTTATAATTTTTTGGTCTCGAACTAAACTTTGATATTAAGACACAGAGTGGCGTCAGAATTTCCAAAAGCACATACACTTGCTAAAAAATAGTTATATTACATTTTTAAATATTTTTTATTTCGTACTTGAGTCTCTATATTATTAGCAAAAATGTCGCTTAAAATATGATTTGAGGCAAGTTAAAAATATCTGTGCAGTCTACATTTAACCGATCCTACTTTCGATATCGGTTTCAATCGTCGCTTTTATTTATATACTTAATATTATTAATAGTCACATTTGAGTGGTCATTTGTCGGACACTTCAAATATTTTTTAATAATTTTTTGATCTTTAACAATACTTTGATATTAACATGAAGTAACAGAGTGGGTGTCAAAATTTCCAAATATGTATGCATATGCAAAAAAAAAATATAAATAAATAAATTATTTTTAAAAAAAATTTATTTTGTTCATGACTCTCTAAGCCACTAGTAAAGGTGTCGCTAAAATCGTTTGTTATTAAAATATGATGTGAGGCAAGTTAAAAATATTGTGCAGTCTACATTTAAATGATCATTCTTTAAATTTCGGTTTCAATCGTTGCTTTCATTTGTTTACATATTTCATTACTAGTCGCATTTGAGGAGGCCATTTGGTGGAAACTTTAAATATTTTTTATGGCCTCGAACAAAGCTTTGACATTAGTATCAAAACACACTCAATGAGAGTCAAAATTTCCAAAAACCATACACTTATTAAAAATTATTTATAACAAGAAATTAAAAATTATAATGTTTTTATCTCTCCATGTCATTAGCATAGGTGACGTTAAAATCGTTCATTATTAAAATATAATATGAGGCAAGATAGAAAAAATATCCGTGTATTTTACGGATCCAACTTTCGATTTCGGTTTCAAGCATTGCTTTTATCCGTTTACATAATGTTATTAATAGCTGTATTTGAGGGGGCCATTTGGCGGACACTTTAAACATTTTTTTTTAATTTTTTTAGCTCGAGCAGAACTTACTTTCGATTTTGATTCCAAGTATTGTTTTCATTTGTTTACATAATATTATTAATAGCCGCTTTTTGAGGGGGTCACTTGGCGGACAATTTAAATATTTTTTTCCAATTTTTTGGCGTGAAACAGAACTTTGATATTAATATCAAAACACAGAGTGGGCGTCAAAATTTCCAAAAACACATACATTTGCTAAAAAATATTTATATAACATTTTTAAGTATTTTTTATTTTGCACTTGAATCTTTATGTTATTAGCAAAAATGTCGCTTAAAATATAATTTGAGGCAAATTAAAAATATCTGTGTAGTCTACATTAAACGGTTCCTACATTCGATATCGGGTTCAATCATTGCTTTTATTTATATACTTTTTTTTGTCGTATGTCTGTTTAGGCCGTGGGGGTGCGATTGTTTCTGTTTTTCAGTGGCGCCATCTATGGCGAAGAATTCGACTTCTAACACGCCATTCACACAACCACAACCTATTTATAGGCGGGTTACATTCACTCGCAAAGAAGGAAGGACATAGAACACACAGAGAGAGAAAGAAACATCCATGCCTTGCCCGGGATTTGAACTCAGAACCTTTCTGATGCAAGGACAGATTTATATACTTAATATTATTAATAGCCGCATTAGAGGGGGTCATTTGGCGGACACTTTAAATATTTTTTTTAATTTTTTTTGATCTGGAACAGTACTTTGATATTAATATCAGGAGACAGAGTGGGTGTCAAATTTCCAAATAAATATGCATATGCTAAAGAATATAAATAAATTTTTTTTAAAATAACTTCATTCTGTTCTTGTGTCTCTAAGTCATTAGCATATTTGTCGCTATTATCATTGATTATTAAAATGTGATAAAAGCCGAGTTATAAATATTTGTGTAGCCTACATTTAACAGATCGTACTATCGATTTCGGTTTCAAACATTGCTTTCATTTGTTTACATAATATTATCAATATCCACATTTGAGTGGTCATTTGTCGGACACTTTAATTATTTTCATAATTTTTTGTTCTGGAACAGAACTTTATATTAATATCAAAAGAAAGGATACAAGTCAGAATTTCCAAAAACACATTTGTTGACTGAGTGATATTTATGAAAATTTTGAAAATTTATTTTATTTCGTTCGTGTTTTTCCCTGTCATTATCTCGCTAAAATCATTGATGATTCAAATATGATAACATTCAAGTTAAAAATGTCTGCGGAGACAACATTTAACTGATCCTATTTTTTAATTCAATTTAATTAATCGTTCTTTTTTTTACATAATATTAATAATAGCTACATTTAAGGGTGTCACTTCACGGACACTTTAAAAAATTTCCTTATTTTTTGGTCTGAAAAGAACTTTGATATTAATGTCAAGTATAATAGACATTCGAAACATATGGCAAGTCTTGCATTTTATTTATGCTATTTAATTAATTTTCCTAAATTTGTTTCAGGCTCACAACCAGTTAGAATTCGTAAAATTACATAAAACTCTTATGAATGATACATTTTTTTCACGTACATTTAAACACAAATTACAATAATGAAACTTCCTGGAATATTAAGCTAGTTCACATATCACTTCATAAGCATAACATAAGCGGAGGGATACACCATAAGTTTTCTAAATTTCTTCTGGTTTTAGGAAGCGTTTTATTGTTTGCATTCAGTCTATCATCCATAAAGTGTAAGGTTTGCCATGTTTTAAATGTTATTCCTTAAATTGCTATATTTTAATGAAAAAGAGCTGATGTTATTTTTCGGGTAGCATCTTAGCAAGCTCGCGGAGTCTTCTGAATTCATTTGCTGTTTCTTTCGTTGAAAGTTAAATTGAAGGAATGTCTTGTATTTAGATCACTACAATTATAGTAATATTCCCGGTAATCTTACGACGAATTTTATCCCCACGCGCCATCTGTGATTAGCATTCCATGGTCAACCATCTTACATTTAGAATTACTTAATACTGATTTCAAGGGAAATGTATTTCTTCATTTTAAACATTCGATTGTTCATTAAAAGTAATTCCAGGTACATATAGAAAACATTTTAGGATATTTTGTTAGTTGAATATCGAGTGTGCTTTGATTACGTCCCTGGTCTTTCAAAGTCACGTGGTCTCTTTAAGTTTTGAGCAATAAGTGTTTTCTAAACATTTTGGATATTTAGTCAAGCTTAAAAGTGGACTGGTTTTTTTAAGATCGTTGTAAGCTTAAAGCACGTCTCCTAAAAAGAATTTTGAAGAAACCACTTTAACTTGTATTTAGGTTGTGACGAAACCGTAAACAAACCGTAATCTACTCAAAATTTCTCGATTGAATTATGTTTTCATCTACAGCATGAAAGACGAGGAAATTTTGTCTATGAAACATTAGATTTCCAAACCAAGAGTTAAATATGGGATTGCTGCCATTAGAATACACTGATTGTTTATCTGACACTCCTCATTATAGAGAAAATCTTCGAGCTCACGAGAAGGAGTTGGAAACAACTAGCCAAGCCATTAAAGGTTTAATAAAAGAGGTCAAAGATCTTTTGGTTGCTGCAAAAAGTAAGTTCACGAAAGCATTAAAGATTTTTTTTTAATGTCTTGAAAACTTATCAATTTTTACCATGAGCCATAATCGTATATAGAGGAATTTGCCTTGTCTCTATATTTCTATGAAAATTTTCAGTTGGTGCTTTAATATGCAATTACATTGCATCTAAAAGTGCAGGAAATTTCTGGCATTTAGTATTCTGTTCTATTCGTTAGACCATAATATTAACTGTCTAAAATTAATGAAATACTAAAATTAATACATTTTTGTAGATCGAGCATCAACAGATAGTTGTATAAAATAAAAGTTCCATGTTAAAAAGGTAAATTAACGAAGGCTTTAGGGTTAAAAATGACTGTTACTCATTCTAATGTGTATAAATATTTTCATAACAGTATATTCAGTATGGAGACGAAATGTTAACATTGTACTCCTAGAGATTTTGAATTTTGCTGTGTTGTAGAACTATTTATATGATTTCAAGCATTCAGTAAATCAGCAACCTCTTAAGTGTTTTGTAAGTAGGAATATAATGCCTTTCAATCCCTTTGAAAATTAAACAAATGTTGGAAATTTAGAAGGATTAGCTTTCAGAGCTTTACTATTTCAATCCATAAGATTTCTCTCATTTTTGAAAGACACCCTTTGTAACTATTTTTATCAATATAAAATATTTCAACAATCTAACTTCTTGTTTTCTAAAAACAATCTCTTGGTCTCTCTAAGAGTCACTTAATCTAGCTTATAATTTGTTTTAATGACATGATTACAGTTTGTAAAAAAGACTGGGTCAAATTTGAATCATTAAAAAAAGCCAATTTTTTATGTCCTTCAATCTCTTTGAAAATTAAACAAATGTTAGTGTTAAACTTTGTGCAACATTGACACAAATAAACACTTGGTACTGATCCTAAAAGAATGAACGGCTGACATCCAAAGAGATGTAAGTCACGAAGATGAACTGTACGTTTCCCCCTCAGCTAACTGATTCTGCGACACCTTTAAGCTGTTGTTAACAAGAGATCCTTCAAGAAACTAATGGATAACACCTGAATAGATTCAGCAGTCTTTTCTTCTTTACCCCTGTGTGGAAGAAAATTACTCGTGTAGCGTCCGTGTGCTCTGATCTACAGTTATGCGCATTCGGGGCATACTCTTGATATGTGACTCTTAAGAAGAATTAAACTCAGGCATAAACAAGTGCTAGTAAATCTCTTTTTATCTTGTTAAAACTGTAAAAGTAACAATATTTAGTTACGGCGTTGAGAGTATTCTGTAAAATTTTAGAATGCATATTTCCAATCTGTAAGACGTATTTTTATTAGCTAAATCTTCGTACAAAAATTACTTAACGTCAATGCTAATAAAGAACTTGGTGAGTTTTTACTGTAATTTTAATCCCTCTTAATTTTACCTTTATATTTCAGTCCATTCCCTTTCAGCATTTCTAGATAATATTTATTTTTATCTTTTAGTGAATTTCTTTACTATCTTAAAATATTTGGTAACAAAACATAATCTAGTATTATCATTCTTAATCTTTGGCCAGTAATTTTAATTAATATTTTATATCCTTCTTAAAGGATGTTTAAGTTATTTTGGATTTAACTCATTCATTAATTCATTACATTATTTCTATTATTTACCACACCTATTTAAAACTCAAACATTTAATGCTAATAACCACTCTAATAGTTGGAAATTTAGATAGTTTAACTTTAAGAGCTATAAACTTTTAATCTCCGAGATTTTTCCCATTTTAGAAAGACACCCTTTAATAACAACTTTTTTCTTTCAATTCAAAATATTTCGACAATAACATAGTTGTTACATTGTAACACTAATTTTTAAAGGTGCAATTTGTTCTGATATTTTTTACATAACTGATAGCCTTTGAACACTTTTCACACTCCATGATCTACTGCCAACCGCAAATCAATTTGATCTGATATTTTCTACATCACTGATTAGCGTTTGAACACTTTTCACACTCCATGATCTACTGCCAACTGCAAATCAATTTGAAGTAAATTATTTGAAAGTGACAATAAAAAAGTAAATGATTTGAAAGTGACAATCAAAAAGTAAATGATTTGAAAGTGACAATCAAAAAAAAAAAGACTTCAGATTTCAAAGACTTCGGGTCAGATTTCTAGGCAAAGAGGAAAAAGCCGAATTCCAACTCGAGAGGACAGAGACACCTATATTGAGAATTGGTGAAGGAAATATTTTGCATCCTTCGAGTTCAGTGTGATGGCAACGACAGTGTGAAGCGTCCCTTTCAAGTAATATGAGACGGCAGATGATTGCCTGATTCGGTGAGTAGCGGAGGCTTCGGCCTGCCGCTGTTCTCTCTGAGAGTGTGGACAAAAAGCACATGTCTCTACGGAATAAAAATGTTATTCGTGATCCTTATTGATCCTTAATTCTAATGTCTGATAAGTCTGACATGTCTGATAAGTCTGATAATTCTAATGTCTGACTCCTAGGATGATGAACTTGGAATAAATATTTGTAAGTTATTCTTTATTTGTCGTTTTCTTAGGTTAATGTTTGTCTTTCATTTCAGTCCAATTGGGTATTATCTAAATTTAATGATTTTTTATTTCCAGAGACATCTTATAGCTTTGTACTACCACTAATAATTTTAGGTTTAACCACCACGTGTGGTAGTGAGATTAGTCAGGTTAATTGTTAGGTTGATTAGGATGATTTGTATTCTATATTAATATATAAATTTATTAATACGGCTAAATTAGATTAAAATATTAATATTTAATTGTACTAATTTCTCATTGTTAATATCCTATTTGATACGTTAATACTTCAACTTTAATAATAGTCTTTCTGATTATCTCTTATTTTAGATTAAAACTTGCTGTAAAAACATAATGAAAATTTGTTTGGGTCAAGTTTAAAGCATTAAAAAAAGACCTTTTTTTTAAAAAATTAAAAAAAGTTGTAAGAAATATTACGTGTAAATATTTTTGCAAAGAATTTTAAAATAAATTTTAAAAAATTTTGACATAGGTTACATTTTTTATTTATGCCTACTAATGTGTGAAAGTACCCCCTTAATGTTTGAATAGCTACAGCTATGAAATAGGTGTCTACATATAGAAAAGTGGCTACATACCACTTTCTACACAATGTTACTTGGTGAGAAACAGAGATAATTGCATTTTTATCTAAAAAAAATGTGAAATGGAAAGGAAAAGTTGAAGCGCATCATTGATTTTGTAGGAATAGATATATAATAATTGTCAATAGAAAGAAATCACTCAAAATATGCATTTGTTCTTATTTTTCTTGCAATGTCCTACAAAATGTTGTGGCTAATCTATATCAGCAAGAATAATAATAACTTGTTATCATTTATATTTCCCTTAAACTTAGTATTTTGTGAAATTAAAAGGTATTATAATTAGCTCCATTTCTTTGTATTCTAAAATTGTTTGTCATATTACACTGTTGAAAATAACAAACAAATAAACAAATGTCTTTAAAAGAGATTTCTTATCAATTAATTATGATAAAAAAAGGTAAGTAAAGATTTGCCCAGGTTAAATGGTCAGAGGTTGAGCATTACAAAAGCTTTAATCAATGACTTTTCTTTAGTTGAAATTTTGTTTAACTAAATTTTGTTTAATTTTGTTTTGCTTTAAACTTTTAATTTTAAGAAATAAATTATCAGTTTTAATGTACATTATTTTTAAAGAAATGGAATGATTTAGTTTCATTTTTATTTTAGCACTATCCAAAGCTCAACGCAGTTTGGCTTCAACATTAATGAACTTTCAATTGGACTGTATTGGTTCAAGTCAAACAGATGATGAAATCATTATTGGTATATGTTCTGAATCCTTAGATCTTTCAAACCCGTTCTTTTTTTTAATTTCAAGTATATTTAATAATTAAAGCATATCATATATTAAAATTAGGTACAGGAAGAAAAAAAATTACTTGATATTTTTTTGTCAATGAAGTTTTTATTAAGTTATTTGAAAAAGTTTTAGTAACAACCAGAATATAAGAAGATTAAATATCTTGAATTACTATTAGCGCTTGTGTGCATGCAAAATATTTTTTGTGTAAACATATAATTATTTTACTTAGTATTCCAAAATGCATGCAAATATTTATGTTTCTGTGTAATTGATAGAGTCGTATTATTAAATTCTTAAGTTTTTCAAAGTGTGACCATACATGGGAACACTACTTTTAAACAGTAACGAGTACAAGTACTTAAAAGTAACGAATAAAAAGTATAACTACAAAGCAAAAAAAAAATAACAATTTTAAAGTACTTTTTGTAGAAATTGAAAATTCAAAATAACCTATAAATTTCATTTTAAAAAATGTAAGAAAAAATATTTCTTTTTTTTAATTTAAAATGCATTAAATTTTAATTTAAAAGAATAAAATTTATAATGCAGGAAAATGTTACAAAATTCATGGACAGGTAAAAGTATGTACTTTTTGCTTTTACATTCGTAACTTGTAAAGAAAGTAAAAGTATTGCCATGTATGAATGTGACTTAAATGGCTAGAAGATTCTTCCATAATGTAGTGAGATTGTTTTACTTTTTTAAAATGTAATGTGATTTTAACCTAGCGGGAAAATTACCCTTGTTGTATTAAAATTGTTACATATATTTAAGTAAACATAAAAAGTAATAAAAAAATTACATTAATGTGAAAATGAATGTAAAATATTTGATAGATTTGTCATCTGTCTAGGAAAATATTTTAAAAATAAAGATTTAAAATTTGTATTTTGTTGAGTAAAATTAGGGAAGAAAAAAAAGTATTTTAAAGGAAAAAATGAGAGTAATGCCTTATAACTTGGTATCTCAGAATTTTTGAAACTTTTTCTGGAGTGAACACCTTAATAATGTACATATTAAACTCTTAGTATTACATAATAGTATGTCTTTTACAATGTATGTTCAACTGTCATGTAATGTCAGCATATTATATGGTAACATTCAATCCATATGTATCTCGTGGAGTAGTAGAAGTAACACAATGACTGGTGTAAGTGATTTTTTTTATTATGTTATTATAAATAGCCTTTTGATAATAATGATATGGTATGACTACAATTATGGGGGGGGGATAGGAATACTGCCAAATAACTTCATTTTAAGCATAATTTGCATTATTTTATTCCTTGTCTTTAGTGAACTTTTTTTTCCTTAGTTCTAATAAAACATATCTTATTGAAAGATTAGTAATTAAGTAGATCATTTGATCTACTTAATTATGCAGAAAAGTAATTTTTCTAGAATCAAAACAGAGTAGAAAATTTTTTATTTTAAAATAATATCAATTTAATCAAATTCATAATATACTTTATGACTGCAAAATTATAAATAAAATTTGAAATTCAGTATTTTTAAAGTAGAATATGATGCCATTGAGTGTTTTTAATATAGATTCAGTATGTATAAGTACAATTATGTTAACTATGTTTTCCTTTCTTTCTAAGTTTACAAACCTCAGCCTTCTAGATTCTGACTAAAATGTTCAACCAATTTTATAATATAGCCTCTGTTCAAATTTTACTAAGTTCTTTAATTTCAAAGCTGTGAAGTTAGTATCTTTTTTTCTTTCACTAGTTATAAAAAAAAAGTATTATTATTTTGAATTATATGGTTCTAATAATTTTTAAATTTAACAAAAAAAGGTTCCTTCATGATTTTATTTATTCCAACTGATCTAGTAAGTGGTTTGAATATTGCTATTATTTGAAATTTTATTTTTAATTGGTTATTATTTGTTGGAAAATAACTTAGGACAATTATTGTTCTCTTATTAAGCATTCTTGCCATTTTTTTTTTATTATGAACACTTATCAGTTCTGTTTGAAAAAGTTATTGATTTTAATTATTTAAATTCCATCATTTTTGCTAGATCTTAGTAATGATTCATCTAATTTTGGCTATCATTTTCTTTTTTCCCTATTTAAATATTCATTTGCGTCTAGTAAATTCAATACTATCGAAATCACTAATTTTTATGTCCCTCCTGAATCAATAAATGAAAAATTTTTGAATAGATAAATTAAATCTAAAGTGAGTACAAAACATTGCTTCATAATTTATTTACATGCAAGTCACTTTGTTTAATAGACAATTTGTAGTAGCTTTTTTTTTTTTTTTTAAATAACAAGGGATTTGAAAATTTATTATTATTTATTTTCTTCCTTTCTACTCTTATTCTTTATCAATTTGTTATTTTTTTAGATTAAGAAACGTGGTTTGTTCTTCAAAATTTTTGCAATATTTTGTCTTTTACAGCTGGGTCGTTAAAAGAATTTGGACGTCTGGTCTGTGTAATTGAAGATGAGAGAGATAGAATGGTATGATAGTAATTATCTTTTTACCAAGAATATTACAATTAAAAAGTTAATTAAATATATACACAGATATGTTTAAATCCTATTTGAAAAGTGCTTATAGATAGATAGTTCAAATATTTGCTAAGAAAACAACAAAAATAGAGTAGTTAGGGGTCATTCTCACAAAAAGGTGATTTTTCTAGTCCCTTAGTAATACAGCAGATTTCTTAATATTTTTCGTCATCATTTTTCGTAAAGTTTAAGCTAATCAATCATAAGCATTTCTGCTAATAGAATCTAATATTTCGTTATTATTTTTTAATAAACATAACTTCAAAATCCCCTCCGTGGACGTCCCCACGTCTGTGACACAAAATAATTATTAATGGCTGTTAAACAATTTAAATGTTATTTCAATGATTTTTGTAGTTTTAATTAGTTAAATGTTTATAGTAGCTTTTTATTTAATATTTTTTAAAAAAAATTTTATTTCTACAAAATAAATGACTAGTAAACTTTGTCCATCAAAAATGATGTCTCCCTCCATGGACAATTAATATAGGTCAGTAAATATGCTATAGAGGGCAGCATGTCTGAAATACCTATAAGAGGGAAAGGTAACCATTCTATTTTCTAGTGTTAACTATCAGTTGTTTTTGTTCTCTTTGGTGTCAGTTTTGGATTGTTGTGTACAACTGAGGTTTGGCAAAGTTCTCCGTGGTCATCATAAAGAAGGTAAGAAAAAATTATTTTATATTTGATATATAAATTTTAGATAGCAAAAATGGTATATTTAATAAAAAGAACTGCACCAGTTTTGTAACTTTAAAATCAAAAGTCAGTAAAATTCAAGAACTAGTTTTTGTCTCTTCCATGGACTTCCCCTCCGTTGACATAGCAAGTCCATGGAGGAGATGACACAGTCAACGGAAAAGACAATGTGTTAGATAACCATAATACATTTTTATTAATTAAACTATTTTATTTTAATTGATATTTTTTAAAATGGAATAAATGCGTTATTTTATTTGTATTTTAAAGAAAATCAATTAAGTTTAACTTTTCCTTATCGGAGAAGTAAATATTGGAAATATTTTTCTAGATAATTTCTGTGATGTTTAACACTTTTTTTCTCTTCAAAATTTAGGGAAAAAAAATGGCAAAACCAAAATTTAAAAAAAGAAAGCAATCAAATGTTCAAATCCAAAAGAGAAGGGAACAGAAAAAACTTAGCATGAGATGGTAAAGCATGAGATAGTAACGAAGCATGAAGATGGTAAAAAAGAGAGAGAATGTTACCACCAAAGAAAAGCCTGTGGAAAAATTAAAAGTGTTCAAGAGATGAATGAACGTGAAAAGAGAAAAATAAGAAAAGTTTGGAAAGAAAAAGCAAGAAAATATCGTAAAAAAAAGGAAACGTTTGGAAGAACCTGGAGGATTAATCATATATACAACTCCGAGCTCACCTTCTCTATTGAATAATAATAACATTGTCAAAGAAAATAATTCTAATTAAAAAAGAAGATAGAAGAGAAAAACAAAAAGCTAAATACTAGACTTGAAGGATATAAGAAAAAATTAAGCAGATTTCAGAAAAGTAAAGAGAAGAATGTCCGTTGACTATTACATCTCCTCCGTAGACAAGACCGAATTTCAAATCTTGTAAAAAATAAAATAGAAAACTTGACCATTATTATAAGGACATATAACGAAAATAAATAAAGGCACTTATGTAATTTTTATCACTTTTTTAATTACTTTAATTTAAGAATTTTTTTTATCTATTTATGCCTTTTCAGTGAGAATGACCCTTAGATAAAATAAAAAATTTAAACAGTTCAAATCCCATGAAAATGTCTATTTACTGGACAGTTTTTAACAAACAAAATAAATAAATTTCTTCTTCCCACTCCCTAATAATTGTAATTTTTAAACTCTCCTCTTACATTGTTTATAATAACTTAAAATTTATATTGCTTTAATGATCACATTCAAATAGTTAATAATAGGAATAAATTATGAACATCAATAAAGCTAAGTATTAGAGAATGAAAGAAACAGGTGTAAACTGGTTTTATGTTGATCTAAATTATGAAAGTTTTATTAAGAAATATGCTTAATTCTGTTCCTAGATTTACCATATTTTTTTATTAAATAGAATTGATTTATTTTTTGAATTTGAAAATTATTTTTATCTCTATATCTTTTGTTCTAATTTTTCACATCTAACAAAATAATAAAAAATTTATCTTTATTCATGAAGAAAAATTCAACTTATATACTTAATTTTAATCAAAAATTTTTATTTTATCTAATTGAACATTTAATAGATTACTGAACTTAATGAAATTTGTATGATTCCACCACTGTGTAAGCAAAATTCCCCCAAAATTGAATTACAAGTTTTTCAAGCAGAATCAACTGATAAAGATTATTTTTACTTTAGTTATTATAAAAAGCATTTGGCAGATTTTTTTTTCTCCAAAATTCATGTAAGCATGGTATTTTGCATATTTTTACTTAGAGAAGAAGGGGGAAATTCTTTCTCCAAAATATACTTTAGTAATATTTGAGCAACCCCTAACTTGATTCGCTTAATATCATAGTTAATTAAAATTCATATCTTTTTATAAATGACTGTAAGTGCGTCCAAAAATGTTTTTATATTTATTATTTAAAATATGTTATTTTTATGTTTGTTACTATTTAATTAGCATATTATTTTGTAGTATTTATACATGTTATTATTTTATTAGCTGGATCGCGCTGAAGAGACACTAATTATACCTATTGAAAATTTTCGAAAAGAAAACATAGGAGCGGCAAAGGTATGACTTATGTATTGTAACAGTAAAAATTCTGTTAGATTATGTTTAAATTTTACTGTTTCACTATTAGTTATTTTGATCCTTAATGCTTAATTACTTCTTCATTTTTCTTCAGGAAGGAAAAAAGAAATTCGACAAAGGAACTGCAAAGTTCTGCCAATCATTAGAACGGCACCTAAATTTGTCATTGAAAAAAGGAGAAAGTCACTTACAAGAGGTAAAAAATAGTATCTTGAAAAGGTGTCTTTATTAATATCATTTAGCACTTTGTTACGATTTCGTTTTAACTGAGGAATTAAGTAATGCAGTAAATTTTAAATAAAAATTGTTTGCTTCTGTTATGATCTTTATTTATAATAGTATTTTATGATGCTTAGTTTAGTTTTGAAGTAAACTACCCATTTTCATTGTAATTTTTCTTTATTTTTTTTTGGCTTAACTGCATTACATAAAGTGCTAAAAAATGGAATTACAACTTGCATTCTTATTTTAAATGTGCATTAATCAAATCTTAAAGTGATTCTCAAATGTAAAAATGTTTCTCTCATTTTGTTTTCAAAATTGAACTTAGCCTAATTTGCATTTTTGAATATTTCTTTAAATGTCAAATCGTGAATAAACAACTATTGCAATAATAGATATTTATAAGTCTTAAATTTTATATTACATCTAACCATAAATGTAAATCAACAGTTTTATTTAGCTAATGTAAAAAATTTCTACCTATTTCTTTTAAGTTATAGAAATTCCTGATTTTAACTTCTGTTGATTTTAATATAATTTGCTTGACTTTTTTTATACATATATTAACATTCATTTTTTATTCTTTACTTTTTCTTTTCTACTATATTATCAAAAAAGTGTTTTTTCTGTATTAAGAACATATTTCACATTCAAGTATTAAGCTTTTTTTATATCCATTTTCACTTTATCTAATTAAACAGTTCAATTTTATGAAACTGTATTCAAAATTTTCCATTTAATTTGTAGGCTGATGCTACTCTAGAAATGGAGCAACGACATTTCTTTCAAGCTTCATTAGAATATGCTTCTTTGTTAATGAAAATTCAAGAAAAAAAGAAATTTGAATTTGTAGAAACAGTAGGTATTTTTTATGAAGATATGAAATGACTTAAAGAGTGTAAAAGACTACTTAGCACTATTTTTTTTTCTCTTTTACATTTATTAATAGCTTTATTATGAATAGTTTATTGCGAAGCTTTATTTATTTTCAAATTACACAGATTGTGTATCATATAAATGAAAAGTTTAACATAAAATGTGGAAAGATAAATACTACTGCAGCATAAAAAAAAATAATAAAGAAAAAAAGAGATAAAATAATGCATTTCTTGCGAATATTACTAAAGTTATTCTTTTTTAAATGTTACAAGATACGTACCTCATAAACAATATAGCGTAATGAATGTTTTTTAGACTAAAATACAAAGACGATGTTTAGAAAAAGTTAAGAAATGCGAAGTTTAGAAAAAAGTTACAGAATTTGAAGTGTATTCTATTAAATATTTATGTTTGGATATTCTTATCTTGATAATTTAACATACATATTTATCAATATTTTTATCATCTTATAAGCTTTTGTTACAATTTGCACTAAAAAGAAGTATTTTTTTCATTGCAAGTTAAATCGTAGATTTCTATTCTTTTTCGTTACATAAAGTGTAGAATTTCATGCCTTATAAAATGTTCAAACATGAAATTAAATTTATGTATGAACTTATATATTTTTTCTTTAATTAGATTCTCAGTTTCATGGCTGGCCTAATGACATTTTATCATCAAGGTTAGTATTTTGTTTTTCTTAATTTTACCAGTAAATGTTAACTTATTATATTCCACTTCTAATTCTTGTCACATTGAAATTTGTTTAATTTTATAGTATTATTCTTCATTTTTAAATCAAAGAAATTTTTTATTGTTTTATCAATTTATATATTCACATGGCACAAGTTGACACAAAGATTTTCATAGAATATGAGAACCTCAATTTGGCTTTTTTTTAAAAATTTAATTTTAACCTAATTTGGCTTTTTTATGTAAATTAATTAAATATGAGTATAATTATAAATATTAAGATGTTTAAATTACGTTGATACATGTTCTCAAGGTTTGAAAAACTTTTGTGATCACTACAAGTCTTAATTTTGAAGAAAAAAAATGAGCTTTTGAATATTAATAAAAAACACAAATTTTTGACTGACTTTCTATTTTAAAAAGAAGCACTTCAAACTGAAAATTGAAGATTTGTAATGACAGAAAAATAAAGTCAACATCTTTCTGATTACTATTACATATTTCAAATCTTATTCATCATTACACACTTTGCAGAATGAATTATAACTTTTTCTCAAAACCTTTCAATAATGTGAAAATTAGTTTCTTGATAATATTATGAATATAGTTTCCTGTTGTAAGAATTATAGTTTCAATGTAAGAATATATTTATGGGCTTTGGGTAGAATTTGTCAGATAATTTATTTTTACCAGTACATGTGGATTAATATAACAGATTTAAATATTGGATATTTATTTGTTTTTAAAAAGTACATATGGGGATCTATGTTTACTTTGTCTGAAATGGTAAATTTTCGAATGATGAAAAAAGAAAAGAAAGCCTACTATATTTCTGATAACGCTCACAGCATTATGTTTAACTGCTTGTCAACATTATAGATTATCTCCTTGCTGATAATATATTAAATTGAACCTAATGAAGAAAATAATATTAATTTCAAAAATTTAAAAGCTAAAGTGTAGAATGAAAGTTTCAAAAAATTAGGTGAGAAAGTTAATTAAGTCAGAAATTTTTCTTTGATCTTAAAATTAGTAACCTTGCTCCTGTAAAATATAAAGTGATATTTCAGCTAGAATTTAAACTAACTGCCATTCGCTTTACATTAATAAGGAAGTATTTTGCATGTTTGTTCCACATTAATGATAGGTAGGAATTTTTTGTAAACATTGGTTTGAATTGTCACTATTAGAGTTAACAGTATTTAATCGCATTTACATAGCTGCCAAATGTACAGATTTTATCGGAATGGTTCCGATTTTTATGCCTTGTTCCGATAATACGATTTTGGGTCAAAATGTTCCGATTTTTCATCATAGCGTAATTTTTTCTTTTACTCTACAAAGCGATCCATGTCCGATTGGCGAAATCCAATCAAGTCGCGTTATCACTTGGCTCCACCTCTAGCTCCATTCGTATATTTGATGACGTATGTACGGGTCGCCTCACAGGCACCAAGAGGAAATTTTAGCTTCCTGACTCCTTGTCTTTTACTTGCAACCGTACCGGTGTTGAATGTTTACTCTGAACGCATCTCTTCGATTTGAGTTTAGCTTTGAATGTTTTTCCACGTGGTAATCTGAAAAAATGTCAAAAATTCGGCGAAATTATCTTCGCGACAATTATAGTGAAGAATTTGATTTCATCAAAAAAAATCAAGAAAGGGGACATTGTATGCGTTATGTTTTGCTTGCAATACAGACATTAGTATAGCACACATGGCGGAAAGTGTGATATCATTCCACACGGGAAAACAGCATAGCATGCTACCGCGTATACAAATATGAAAAAGTCTTCAAAAATTTCCGATTTTGTGTCGTCCACTATTGATCTACAATCAATTAGAAGCGAACTATTGTTCACAGGATTTCTCCTTGAACACAATATTCCGTTAGCTGCTGCGGACCATGCATCAAAGTTGTTTTGTGCAATGTTTCCAAATACGCTGGAGGTAAAAAAATACTCGTGCGGGAGAACGAAAACTAGTTATTTGGTTCAAGAAATCGCAAATAACACTTCCGAGCAAATTATAAAAAAGCTGACGACTAATGTGTTTAATATAGCGACAGGTGGGAGCAATGACTCGTCGGACAATCAAATGTATCCAATCGTGGTCACATTTTTCGATGATGTGTTGGAGTTATTGAGCTGCACTCTTATATCTTTGCCAGTTTTAAATGATTCGAGTACAGGTCAAACTATTGCCAATCTAATTTGTGTCTTTTTTTCTGAACACAGCATACCATGGGAAAATTGTTTATCGTTTTCCTGCGATAATGCAAGGAATATGATGGGGAAAAACAAAGGAGTTAGTGCATATCTCAAGGAAAATCATTCTAATCTGTTAGTTTTTGGCTGCCTTTGTCATCTGATCAACCTGGCGGCTGAAAAATGAGCAAGGACTTTGCCCATTTCATTTGATGACATACTTATAGATATTTATTATTGTTTTCATAGAAGTGGGAAACGAAAATTAGAATTTAAAAAATTTCAAATGTTTGACAAAGAAGGTGGTAAAAAAATTCTAAAACATTGTGCGACAGGATGGTTATCCCTTGGTAAATGTATCACTCGCTTACTTGAACAATGGAGAAGTCTTCTCTTATATTTCAAAGAAGTGTGTTCTGAGAGCAAAGTAACTACAGATTTCTCACCAAAAATTTCGGCGTATGTAATACCAAAATTACAGAAGCAACAAACAAATGAAGATGTTCAAACAGAAGGTGAGGGGTCTAAAATAAAAAATACTAAGCGCAAGGTTTCCGATACTGCCCCAGTCTGTTCAAAAAAGATGAAATCTAAACAGAAAATGAAGTCAAATGATGGGTTTAAGCAAGGTTTAAAAACAAAAGTTTCTCAAGAGAACTTAAAGAAATTTTTAGGTAGAGATGAAAGAATTTTTCTCGTCCTTAGTTCTAATTTGCATCATTCTTTAGCTTTCTTTCTAAAAAATGTCATTATCGTTTTTGAAAAATTCAACATATTGTTTCAATATGAAGAACCTCAGGTTCACAAAACAAAACGTGAACTTGCAAATTTTTTCACTGAATTATTAAGTAGATTTGTAAAGGTAAGTGTTATTAGCAGTTCAAACTCTGTATTTGATGTTAGGTATAACATATTTGAGAACCAAAAAAAAGATGATGAGTTAGTTGTTGGCTCTGAATGCAAGGACTCCATTAAAGAACTCTCTAACAAAGAAAGAGCTGAAGAGTTTTTTTCTCATGTGAGAAAATACTTCTGTGCATCTTGTGATTATATAATTGCTAATTTCCCTCATAATTTGCCATTATTAGAACATGCTGAAATTTCTAAAAAAAACTGAGAAGACATTTTCATCTGTGAAATATTTTATTGACTTATATCCCTCTATGCTACTTAAAGAAAATTATGAATCGTATTTTGATGCAGTTGATACTCTCGAGTCAGAGTTTCTGTCCTATCAGCTTGAAAAATGTCCTGAATCTACTATAAATAATGAAAGAGCTGATAAGCAGTGGGCAGAACTCTCTAAAGAGAAAGGTCCTCTAGGAAAACTAAAATATGCGAGATTATCAAGGGTGATGTTAGGAATTTTAACATTTCCTCACAGTAATGCAGCCTGTGAAAGACTTTTTAGTCTAGTGCGAAAAAATAAGACTGAGTTTAGGGGTAGCATGAATGTGTCTACTTTGCAGGCAATTTTGATTACCAAGTCCCAAATGATTCAGCCTTGTTATAGACAAGTGTCTGATGAAAAGTTTTTAAAATCAGCCAAATCTGCTACAACTGTAGCACTTAACAAGAATAATTGAATATTTTTTTATATGTGTTTATTGTCACATATGTTTTGAGTAATAATAAAATATTTTTTTTTTTTTAAATATGTTTTAAATTACTAAAATCAGCTATCATTTCTGTTTAATTAGTTTGTTGAATAAGAATAATAATCAGAAATCTTGTCAGTTGATATGTATTATAATCAATAATAATTGTTACATCAAATTTTATAGTTACAATTATGCAAACATTTAGTGTAAAGAAGTTAACTTTAATGTCGCGACCGCATGACGTGTTCCTATTTTTTTTCCTGGTAGGTATGCATTTATTTTAATTCATTTTAACTATTATTTTACTTTTTCAGGCTATGAAGTGGCTAATGAATTTAAACCATTTATGACAGATCTGCAACGACGACTTCAAAGAGTAAGACCAATTATGAATAATTATATTATTTTTAAGAAGGTTTAAGTCTAATTTGACATTATTTATTTTCTACTAAAAAGTTTTTGTTTTAAACAAAAAAGCTGCATTTGTTTCCTTTTAACAAGCTTTTTCAATTTTTTTTTAAATAATGGCTCATATCTGAAACTAAATTTGAAATCAGTAATTAATGACTTAACTTAAAAAAAAAAAAAAAAAAAAAATTCTGCTTTTTCAAACCAATTAACTTTTTTAACATAAGCATTTTCCATGTTTCTTTTTTTTTTTTTTTAAAGAATTGTATAATTTACAAGTGGTTGTGAATCGTACAATATTATAAAATGTTTCATCTAACTCAAACATCATGCTTACTGTGGGTTTCAGTGATGTAACACAGAATTAGTCATTGCTGCAGATGTAAGAGATGAAAATTTTAACAGTATTAATAAGAAAATATTGAATCTATCAAGCACTAGTTAGAATTTGAAAAATTTGTTTTTTTCCCCTCTCTTATTGTAGAAGTCGATGTTGAGTATTCTAAATAAAATTTGAAAATTATACTCCAATCGTTTTGATTACAAATGATCAGATGGTAGAAAGTACAAATTTAAATTAGTATTAGATAAGTTTTATATATCTTTATATTTGTAAGATATTTAACTGTCTGAAACAGATCAATCTTAAAATGCTTTAAAATAGTTTTTAAAAACGATTACTTAGAAACATTAAATATACACTTCAGTATTTATTATTTACAGGGAAAAAATTTGAATATTCTACAGAATTCGAACTAATTTCAAGCAAATTGATTAATTTTGGTTCACTTGCCTTTTGAAATTTTAACTTCTTAGCAAATAACTAAAGAAATAATGTAAAAAGTTTATAGTTCTTGGTTGGTTATAGAAATTTCTTAACTGCAGATTTCATTGTTTATACCCACAAAGCTAGTGTGGTTTATGTAGTTGCAGTTTATAAAATTGTGTTAGATAGAACTTCTACTGTATCTATTTAATATATTTAAAAAATTACATTGTCTAAAGTATGCTTAGTCAATTATACATTGAATTTATTAAAAATTTAAATGTAAATAAAAATTATTAATTTTGTATATCCTCATAACTATTGATGTGTTAAATATAATCAAATGAATGAAACCAAATGAAATATTCCTTATTATTAATATAATTTTACTTTATAACTACATTGTTTTACATTTCTTTAGACAAGAGATAATTTTAATGCTACAGACAAAGAAGCTGAACAACTAAAAAGAAAAACTTTAGAAGTATGTATATTTATATGTTATGTATATCTGTATAATTCATTATAAATAATTGTTTTGATTATTCTGTAAGGGAAAAGGATGCAAAAAAGAGGGAACTCTTCTCTATTTGTAATCACTTTGTTAAATTTATTATTATAAATAGTGATGCTCATTGCTGAAATTTATAATTAATCCTATTGTAATATTTTGTGCCCAACCTCTTTTGATGAAAATGTTTCAGTGTTAAGAAAATAAAGTTTGAACTGATTATTCTATTATACTGGTAGCAAAAATATCAAGTTATTGTATCAATTTGTACTTAAAAATGTATTGGTATGGAATTTTTAAAGATAAACTTCAAAAAAGCATATTTACTTGTATTTATTTTGATATAAATAAAAAATGTAACTTTTTTTACTTCAAAAATCAAATTTTTTTATTCTACTTGTTTTGATGTTCATCCCATGCTGCTCTTTTATTTATTCTAAATTTTTATATTTTATCTTGAGGAGATATTTTATGGCTGACATCTAAATTATCATGAATATTATGTTTCCACATTTAAAGGGCTAAAAATTCCTTCTAAATGCCATAAAAATGAAGCATTATTTTACTGTATACAGTTTATTTGTCATTTTATTTAAAAAAGTAGACTCATGGCATTCTGTTCGATAATATATTTTATATCTCTCTTATTAAATAGTATACTAAAAATATCTACTCTGATGTATGTACAGCTATTGTTTCATTAAATACTGTTTTCTTCCCTTACATTTTAAATAAAACAAATACATTTATAAAGAGTTAATAATAAAGTTTGAAATAATCTTTTTCAGAGTTAATTTTAAATTACATTACAAAGTTATAATTTAGTATATTTTTTATAATTTAGTATATTTTTAGATAATTTTTCTAAAACCTTTTTTTTTGGGGGGCTTAGTTTCAAAAAAGTTTTCATTTTCAAGGTTTTTATTTTTAATTATTTTTTTGTTTGTTTTTGTTTATGATTTTGTTTTATTTTCTTGTAAATTTTCTTTATTTAAGAATTTTTATTTAAATGACCATAGAAAGCTCAAGACCCAGGTACATTAAATAAAATGTATACAAGACAGGGCTATCTCTTCTTACAAGAAAAGAGTAAGTCTTCATATTTTGTTATTTTAATTTGGTATCTCATTTTGTTTTATTTGGCTTTTCTTTTTTTCTACTTTCTCTTTTTTTATTATGACATTTTTAATGATATTACTGTAAACAAAAGTTTAGAAATAGCAATGAAACCTTTTTGTTTTTAGAAACTTCGTAGATCATACAATATCAAACTAATGATACACATCATTGTAACTGTCATTAAAATGATCAAATTGCTTATCTGTAACTATTTCATGAATTTGAAGAAAAATATAGTTGTTGCTAACTAAAGTTAAATTTTTAATATTTCTATTTATATAAACTAATTAGCATATTCTTAATGAACATTTTTAACATATAAAGATTTTGTTTTTATAACGAAAGAATATTAGCTACTTAAAATTTATTATTTTCTTACCTTTGTTTTATTTATTCAAATGTTGTTTTATTTATAAACTTGAATTTAATACTTTTATTAATTTATTTATCTTTTTAACTGATATTCTTGGTAATTGTTCATATAATTTTCCTGCTTCAATATAATGAAATTAAAACTTATTTAATTTTAATAAAGCAGCAAATTCTAGCTATGATTTTTTTTGTGACATATTATTATTCGTATCTAAAATTATAATCACTGGTGTGTATGGATATTATTCTTAATGATAAGTTATTCTCACAGTCAAATTATGTATATTTCTGCTACCCCATAAGTATATTTGCTGTGATTGAAATGTTTTAGTATTTTGATAAACATGTCAGTTTCTTTATTATTTTTTTACTAAAAACTACTCATATGTTAAAGAAAATAATGCTCTTCTAATTGCCATCACTATTTATCTAATTGTGATACTGATTTCTGATTATGAAAGTTTTGAAATAATTTATAATTAGTTTTCAATCTAACTTATTGAATCCTGTGTTGGAATATTTTTCATACTTAAAACTAATCAATATATGCTTTATTTCATCAATTAGTTCTGAAAATTGATTGTTAGAAAGAATTTCAAAAATATGATATTTATAACTTAAATGCAATTTTTCAATAAGTTAATTTTTATTTCTTAATTTTAACCTTATGTTTTCTCATGTACTCTGTTTAGATAATATATTATTTTACTGATTATTCAAAAACTTATTTCATAAATGTTATTTCATAAATGTTATTTCAAATTTGAATTCACTTATGAAAATTTAAGATAAGCAAGTTATTTTTTCCATATGTTTTGAACCAATGTTTTGCCTTAAAAATTAGAAATGATAAGATGCTCTTTAAAAAATATTTATAAGAAATACAAAAAAAAAAATTATCAATTATGCAATAAAGAGTGTGGAGGTGAATCAAGATGGTTATTGAAATACATGGTGAAATGATACACATAATTCATCTGTGATAGTTGTTTAAATGTGATATCTGTAAATCTCATGAATATAAATCACAGTGAAGTTTCTTGAATGCCTACTGCATGTATGTAAATTGTAAATTGCAACTTTTTGTTAAGTAATTAGGATATGTGATTTACAGGATAATAAACATGAAATGTTGATTTCTAAAGGACATGGTAGCCTTCAACTTGCAAAACGTTACAGCTTTGAATACTGTTATTCAAAAGCATTATTTTAAAATCCAGTATTATGAGTCATTTTACTGCAATTAAAATTTATCTCTATCTTTGATGATAAAATCATATACATATGCATTAGAAATGAGCTTGGGCTCTCTTTTAGAGATCTGAATTCTACGAATTTTAATCCGAACCCACTCAAGCCCAAGATACGTAGGATTACTTAGAGCTTGAATCTGCCCTAGCGCAGGATATACATTGCATAAGGGCCAAATTTTGCAATATCGTCACTTGGCCTTTGATGTCTAAGCAGAGAAATTAGTAAAATAAAATCTTTTCTATCACCAACCTGTGAAAGAAAAAGCAAAGAGGAAAACTGTACCTACTGAAACTTCAAGATGACTAAAACAAAAATTAAAAAAGAAAACCGAAATATTAAGCTAAATAGAAGTCATTTGACAATTAGTGCTAGCCTCACGAAGCAAAAGCACCAAACTAAATAGCTTGCCGAAATTTTTATACTTTATAAATTTTACATTTTTTATGCTTAATAACAGATCCCGAAGTTTGTTTAAAAGTTGTAAAAAAGTATATGAAAATTTTATCGTTAATCTGAGACCGTCTCATCTCTAATATACATAGCAGTGTAACATGGTTTGAAAGCTGCTGAATTTTGTATCTCAAGGTTAGGGTCAAGATGACTTGGATGTCAATTGAAATAAAAATTTAAAAGCGATTATTTCAACTTGTTCAGATTACCAGGTTTTTACTGTTTATTAAACTCAATATCTATGGAAAAATTCTAAGTCATCTGGCTTAACAAATAAAAAGATTTTTAAATCACAAATTCTTCAAAATGCTTTAAAAAAATTTTAGATACAATACATGGGAATTGCCCCGTTGAAACTGGAAATATTTACTCTCATTGCTTAGTAATTTTTAATAAAAATTTTGGTACAAGAATATTAAATTTCTTCCAGAATTGTGTTTAGTATTGCTTAGATTTAAGCTCCTTTTTTACACAAGGAATATCCAACATTTCTCGGAAAAAGAAAGAGCAAGTTATTAATAACAAAGACTTAAAAACTTATCATCCTCAATATAATTCCTACATGTTTTAATAGTTTTGCAATTTTTAATAAATTATAAAATTTTGCTTCCTTGCAGAAGCTTTAGGATCCACCTGGTCTAAACATTTTTGCCAATATCAAAAGTACCAAAAGAAATTTTCATTGATGCCATATTCACAAACCATTGGAAAAATAGTAAGTTGTATTAGAGTAAAGTTTTTCTTTTTATATTTTGGTCCATTTTTCTGTGTATAATTTTATTACTTAGGTTCATTCAAAACTCATTTGATTAATTTTGATTTAAAAAAAAACATTTTTACTAATCATTTGAGAAGTAGCATCAAATTTAATATACTTAATTGAATATTTGATTAACATATCTCTAATCTCTGGCAGCATATTTCAAACCTAAAATCGAAAATTAAGTTAAATGTGAATAATTAAATTATTTTAACATATTTAAACCTGAGAACACACTGTTAATCATGGTAAGATAAATTTTCAAATTAAACGTAATTAGTTTACTATTATGTACAGTTATTCCCTTCTATTAAAATGTAAAACGTTTTGCTCATAACACACTAGGCTCAAATCAATGGCAATTTCTAATGAAAGAATGCATAATAATTAAAGAATCAAAATACGTAAGTTTTATAATTTAATTTTTGTGTTTAGTAAAAATGAAAGCTTTAAGTTCATTTTGCAGATGTGTATATATATATATNTATATATATATATATATATATAGTGGTTTGTGAGGCAAGGAAGGAAAAAAATAATGAACTTAACAAATTTTATAGAGAAAAAAAATATAACAGCAACATCAAAAGCAGAAAGCTTCCTACACACAGCTTTGCATAACAAAGACTGAATAGTTTGAAAGTAATAACTAAAAGTCAATGAAGTATTCTGAGGCTTCCTTTTAAGACATTCCGGCGCTGTTGAGCCAGGAAGTAGATAATTGTTCAAGGATGATAATTGATTACAACCCTTACATATATATATGCATACACATGTGCGCGCATATCTATATTTATATACATGTAGGAGTTTGTGGAGCAGGAGAGGGAAAAAAAGACAGTAGTTTAATAACGAAACTTAACATTTAATAAAAAAAAAAGGAAATAAGTTTAACTATGATATCATGCACGGTGAGAGCTGCCTGCACGCAGCGGTGCTGGATCAAGAATGAATGCTACATTAGATTGTTCAATCGAAAAGAGTAAGAGTTATTAATTTATTTGGGACTTTTCCTGTCTGGACTCTATGGCACCGTGGATACCGGGGCTTTCCCTTCTGGCCTGGCTGGTGCCTTTCAACGAGGAAGTAGACGATGCAATTCATATATATGCATACATATATATATCCATATATATTTGTTTCTCCATGTTATTCCTTTAACTTTTTGAGAAATTGACAAAGGAAGTTTTAAATTTAATGTTATATTTCCATCATTTGACTATCAATTTGTTTATAATATGGTTAATTTCAGGAAGAATATAAGATTTAATACAAAATTTATTAAGCAAGGCTTATCTTTACTAACCTCTATTGCTTAATTTTTTTTTAAAATTTAACTTAATGTGACTATTGATTTTTTTGTGTGTGTGTGTGTTTTTTTTTTAAGAAGTGCTGTTTCATTAATTTTTGTCTGTAATTAAAATTGCATAAATTCTTTTATAAATGTATTTTCTTGTAAAATTGTATGTTTCATAGAAAAAAGGCCTCAGCTTTGAAAAAAAAAATCTTTATCTGAAGCCATTTTTTTAAAAGCTTAAGGAACCTGACGAGAAGTCCTAGTTTAATGAACAATGAAAAAGTTTATTAAAACATCATGCAGTAAAACACAGACTATTTCAATTTAAATGATATTCTTGTTTCTATTAAATCTTCATAATTAAAATTGGAATTAATTTTTTATTCTTTAAGATGCCTATATTTTTAATTCATATACATTTTATTAAATGCAGTAAAATATCTTTAGCTGATTTTAAATTTTTTAATCAAAACACAACCTCCAACATTTGAAGTTCATGCAAAACACTTTTTCTAGAGATTGTGAATTAAAGCTTAAAGTTTTTAAGAAATAGATTTTTTATAAAACTTTTCTCAAGCTTATTACCATGAAAATTTGTAAATCTAATATTTGAAATATGTTTGAATTATGCATAGTAGAGACATAGTAGACATGATTCTTTGATTCCTAATTTGTTAAGATATTTATGCATAACCTTTGCTACCAATAGAAAAAAAAAATTCTGAAACAGTAGAAATTCTGTTGTAGTTGGAGGGTATGTCTTAACTTTAATATTTGCAATTTCAGATAATTACAATATTTTTGTCTAAATCTCTGATGTTTTCTCATAATTTTACATTTCAGATGAATGGAGAAACTATTACTGTTAAAGAATGTATTGGGTATGTATTTAATGAATACATTTTAAACATGTCTTTTACAGGTTTTTAAAATTTATGTGTTTTAAAATATTTAATCAACCTCAATCATACTCTATAAAAAACTGAATTTCAATTATTAAGATCCTTAAAATTCGTCATGATAAATGTTATATAGAATGTATAATAGTTAATATGACTATTTTTTAATGGTAAATTTTCTATTGCTTAAACATCTACGCAAGAAATGTCATTTTTTACATTAGTGATATATGCTAGTCTCTTTTTTTTTCAATCTACGGAGTTGCTGATCTTTTTGGCAATCTTATTGTTGCCAATTTTTTTCATTGAAATTATAATTTTCTGATATATAATGTTATGAATAAGTTTATAATACAGAATTTTTTTAAATCTTAGGAGATTCTTTTAGTATTTTGTGATATTCTTTTTGATTATTACTTTATCAATAGATTAATAATTGTCTAATGAAGCATGAAGTTTGTCTGTGTGTTTATATAATACTTTGTTTGAATTAATTTTTATCTTTGTACATTGTTTTACTTATAACAGACACTTTTATGCATATGTTTCAAAGAAATGATTTCTGTTTGAATTTTTTAGACGACAGTATGATTCTATAGACAAAAGGTTTTGCTTTGACATATTTGCAGAAGATAAACCTGTGCCATATACATTTCAAGCTCTATCTGATGAGGACAAGCGATTGTGGTTAGATGCAATGGATGGTAAAGAACCAGTAAGTCCTTCAACTTTGATTTTCTTCACTAGTTTTTTAATATCAGACTTTGATTTGCTGTTATTTTTCATTTAAAAGGTATATTTGTCAGCTTGCTTGATGTATATTGCTTAGCTCTTTAATCAAAGAATACCACAAAATGCTTGATTTTATTATCAAATTGATTCTTCTTGACTGCATGGAATATAAATAAAATCTTGTTTTAACCTCTTATTTGATGACTGAGTATGAAAAAGCAAAAATGATAATTAAATATTGTCGTTTACTTTTTAACTCTAATGTAAAAAAGGTGCACTTAATAAAATATGTAACTATGTGTTGCGAATTATTAAAATATAATATCTGGGTAATTCCATGGTTTCTCTTGTTACATGTACACTGAGGTGAAATAAGTCATGGGATACCTCTTACTATCATGCCAGATCTCTTCTAACTCTACAAAATGCAGAAAATTGACATGGCATGAACTCAACAAATTGTTGGAAGTCTCTTGAAGGAATATTCAGCCATGCAGTCTAGATAGATGTCTATAATTGGAAGAAAGTGTAGTGAATGCAGTCATTTCTGCACAAACATACCTCATGATTTTATCCCTTAAATGTTTGATGAGATTTGCATCAGTACATTTCAAACAATAATTAAATTGACCCTTTCTTATCATAGTACAGTAGAGCGCGGATTATCCAAACCCTTATTATCAGAACGTCCAATTATCCGAATCATGTCTGAATTCGTTTTTTTTTTTTTTAAAGTTTGGAATGCTTTTTAACCTATTGACAATTTTTCTAAATTAAGAAGAATAAATTATATCCCCAACATCTGAAGACCATATTTAATTTACAATCTTTTTAGCAGTTTTCTTATAGTAGCCATACATTCATGTATTGTGATACAGTTAAACCTACATACCCCTTTAGCCCTTTACAACTGAAAATTATCTTCCAAGAATGCGAGCTTCATTTTGATAGTCTACTGGAATGCAGAAAGAGTTTATGAATAGATAAGTGCTGAAGTTCTATAATTGGGGAATGAGTAGTTGTCACTTACGGTTAATGATTAGTGATTACAGTGCTTGGAATCTTGAATCTTGGAATAAAATTCTTAACAGAAAAACAAACGAAACTGAAGTTTCTGAACCAGTAGATCTTTCGGTTGAAAATGATGAAATTGTTGCTGAAATTTTGAATGAAAATCGGAACTCCAGAGATGAAGAGGACGAAGTAAGTGATCAAGTTCAAAATAGTAGACCTTCTCATATAGAAGCATGCAATTCATTACATTTTCCAATGAATTGGCTAGAACGTCAAAATGATGTTGATCCAGTTCAGTTGATTTATTTAAAAATAATAAGGGATATATGGCTGTTTAAAAAAAGACGCATCTTCTTTGAAACGAAATCTTTGCTGGATTTCTTTTGCAATGAAAAATAATGAGAAATGTGGTAAAATCAGTAGTTGACAAAAAAATTATAAAAATCTGAAATATGATAAAAATAATTCAAAATAAAAAAAAAGTTTTAAAAAAAATTAATTAAAAATTGGAAGAAAAAAACTTTTAAACATGCCAGAGCTATTTTAGATAGTACTGCCAGTCCTAAGCATAGAAAAAGTGTGAAGGGATGTTTGTGCATAAATAATAATCATTTACACTAGATTTTAAACAACTTTCCAATTATCATTATCCGAACTTTTCATTATCCAAACCATGTTCGGTCCTGAGCTGTTCGGATAATCGACGCTCTACTGTAGTTTGTTTTTTTTCTTCATTTTTATGAATATTAACTGAAAAAGGATACTTACTAATATTACAGGAAGAAAGAAAATATTTGAACTTACCAAACAAAATTACTCTTTAAATTGGTGTTTGGAAATTAGCATGAAATTTATAAGTTTTTGGTATAAATTTGTTATTTTCTAGACTATTTACCATAAAAATAACAGAGAAATAAGAAAAAGCTTTCCAGTTCAGTTTTCTTTGTACTTAAAACTAAAAAAAATTTATAGAGGACTTCAATTTAATTTGAAGAATGAAATTCATTTTCTATGTTTAACTTTCCGAGGATCTCTTACTTTCCAAGGATCTTTCTTAAAATCATTGTGAATCTTAAATGTTTATTCAGTGTCAAGAAATGCATCATAATTTATTCATTTTCTCTTTGCCGCCTAGAATTTTGTTATTTTTTCTTTAATTTAGAAAAACAAGTTTAAAGCATCTTTCCATATCTTTTAGCTTGGTTGCTTTTCTTTTTGCATCCTTTCGGCATTTTTAGATTTTCTTCTCTTTTTTATGAAATTTATTTTCCCTATAACTTTTGTTGTAGATTTTACCTTTGTAAAACATGCTTATGCTTATTAAAAAAATTTTATCTCATAGTCTCATAATTATTCTGACTGTAAATTCAACTCGACTGACTCAGGGGAAAACTCTGCTGACTCATAGGTCATGATAACTCATAGGAAAAATATATCTATTTTGGTCTTATACTGATTACTTGTAAATTTTATTAATGTTTTCTCACTCCCCGTAAACTTGAAATGCTTCTTTTTAAGGATTTAATTAAGTCATTGATAAGCATCTAAATAGTGACAGGCAATTAGATTTGCATTACTATTGTACTGTTTTTTTTTTTTTTTTGTAATGGTTCACATATCCGAAATAATTTAGTCTCTTATTGAACTGATCTGTTATATTTATTTTAAGCATTAAATTTGTGGTTTAAACTTTTTTTAACATAATGTTTTTCAGGGATGAGATTTTTCCGCTTTTTAGCGGTTTTCCGCTTTTTTCACTTTTATCTCTTGAATTTCAGCTTTTTTATCAAAACTTCAGATTTTCTAAAAATTTCACTTTTTTTCATAGGTATTCCGCTTTTTCAGAAAATTCACCGATTTTCAAAGAGAAACAGAAAATTCAAACTACATAGCTACCAATCCTTTCTCATTTTTACTTATTTTAGCTATTTTCTCCCCTTTTACACGCAGCAGATAAGATTTTTCGAATTTTTTACCCGCCCTCCAGATAAATCCGATTTTCAAAGTTCAAACGACGCTGCTTCTTACAAACCTTTCAGAGGTCCCAAGCCTGGAATCTGCTAATATCTCGATTCTTATTCATACGATTTTAATATCAAACATAGCTTTTCACATTTGTGTGTTGCGATTCTTATTCACACGATTTGAATATTGTACATTGCGATTCTTATTTATGAGATTTAAAAATATGATATTGTGATTCATATTTGCGCCTTTTTAAAAACCTATGTAACAATTCATATTCACTCAAATTTTAAATTCAATGTCTTGATTTGCTCATGTCGTTTATAATATCAACCATTGATTTTCGTATTTATACGTGATTTTAAAATAAGGCATTTGGATTTGCATTCTAAAAATTATGCATCATAATTCTTATTTATGCAATCTAAAAATTACACATCATGATTCATATTTACGCTATCTTAAAATTATGAATCGTGATTTTTATTTACGCGTTTTAAAAATTCTATATCCCAGTTGGTATTTTCTCATTTTCAAAATCGTATATCTAGTTTCATAGTCATGTGATTTCAAAATCCATAATTGTTATTCATATTCACGCAATTTTAAGATCAACTATCGCGATTCTTGTAAGAAGTAATTTTTTTGAAATTAGTTACTGTAAAGGTGACTGTTTTTCTAACGACGATTATTAGTATATGTAAGTGTTACAACATCAGAGAAACTGGAAGGGAATATATTCACAACTTACATTCTGTGCTCTTGCAAGGAAGAAAAAAATAGGATTTGTCACAAGATGTTTGAAGATGGACTAACGACTAAATATAGCAAACATAAAAGATATAGCAAACAAAAGCAATCACTTAAAAAGGGATTTAATTTATTTATTTATTATTATTTTTTTTGGAAAAGAGTAATTAACTAATCATCAAAATTTTGTTTATAATTGCTGTTATTTATGCTATAAAATGCAAAATTCTTATCAAATGAAAAACAATTATCTAATCAGTTGCTGATTGTCATGTGATTTTTCAAACTTAATTAGCAATTTTTGTATAAGTAGTTACTACCGTACATTCCGGTGTATAACGCGCACTTTTAATACAAAAAATAGCATTGAAATGTACGGGTGCGCGGTATGCGCCGAATATAAAAAATAATAGATTAAAAAAATTTAAATAAAGAAAAATAATTTTATTTTAAAGAAATAACATACCTTTACCTATATACTTTATTGATTTTCGTTATTACATAAATAGTTCATTATATTCGTCTTCCGTTATTTCTTCAGGCACGTCATCACAATCTGTTTCGTCTTCATCATCTGTGTTACCCTCATCCATAAATAAATAGTCATCTTCTGATCCGTCCAGACTATTTGAAATGCTGCATTTTATTGAATGATTTTCTAACCATCTCAGGCTTAATTTCATCCCATGCTTTTAACATCCATTCGCACACTGTTTCCAAACTTGCACGGCGCATATGTTCTCCTTTTGTAAAGGTTTTCTCGCCCACCAACATCCAAGTGTTCCACTGTTTTCTAAAATTGGCTTTAAATGGTTTATTTAAGCAGACGTCCAATGGCTGAACTAATGGTGTTGCATTCTTTCAGCAATTTTTTTGTATTATCTGTAAGGTGGGACCTAAACATGTCCCACACTAAAAGACTTTCTGGTTTTTTATTGATACTAGACGAGATATTGCACATGTACAATCCAAATCTTCGTGCGTGTTATACGAAGAGTATATCTTAAAATTTAAAAAAAGTTATTAGAAATTACGGGTCCGCGTTATACGCCGGGGCGCGTTATGCGCCGGAATATACGGTATATATTTCTACTTCACTGTTATTGATATGTTTCAGAGGGCTCTACTTAGATTAGACTATGATATGAACATAATGATTCGGTCCATTGTTAAAGTTTTTGTTTTCAATATAATTTAAAAAGTAATATTACTGATATATTTACTATAAATCACATAACAGTATTTATTAAAAGAAATGAAATATTAATGTATATTCTCAGTAGTTTTAATTTGCTAAACCAGGTAGTTTTTCAAGTAATAATTGTCTCTTATGTGAACTGAGGAAAAATATAATTTCCAGCTTTATTTTTTCAATTGGTAATTTTTATTTTCACTAAATGTTAAGTATCAATGTAATCATTTATATAATAATAGATTAGTACACAATTGTATGTCAACACATTATTTATTACCTTAAACTGCCTGGAATTTATTATTAAAGGGTTGCGCTTGCGTAATATTTACTATCAAGGAAATTGCCTTTTGGCTAATCTCATCCCTGGTTTTTGTGGTATCCCAAATTTATTGAACATTCATGAAACAAGGAATAAAGAATTAATCACTAGTCCGTCTCTCCTATTTTTGATATTTAAACAATGAATCATTAAATAAAATACTGTGGTCAATATAAATATAGCTTGGCCAAATTTTCTTGTTGTTGATCTAAAATAAGTCCTATTACATGACATTTTAGTGGTATTAGTTCTTAAAAGTGCATTTTTTCCTTTTTTTTTACTCTAGATCCAGTACACACCTGGAAAAAATCCTAAGCAAGATGTTTGTAAGTTTTTTTTTTCTATCTTTATATTTAAGTATTAATTATTTTTTTCTAATGTTTGATTTAAAGTTAAGAAGACTTAAGTTTAAGTTATTTTACTAGTTACTATAGAATATTTAAACTTTAACCCAACTGTATATATATATATATTGTACATTTAAACCTTTCTTCACACGAATTTCCATTTGAAATATATTTTTTTATTTTGTGAGTTTTAAAAAATAATTTTTGTTGCAAATATATCTTTAACTCTTTAAATATCAGTATTTTATCGAAAGTAATTAAAGAAGTAATAACATTTGAAAATATGTGCAGTTTTTACATTGAAAAATGAAATCTTGGAAAACATTATTTTAAGCAATAAAATAAATAAAAGTTTTAAGTTTCCTTTCTTCATTTAATTTGCAATCTCTTGTTTGTTTTTGGAAATTTCTGAGCCAAGCTGTGAACTGAGCACCAATGTCAGGCTCAATCCTCCAGTTTTTCTTCTGCTTTATCTTAATGCAAATTTAAATTTTGAAAACATATATTTAATTCATTTTTTAAGTTATTTGTATCAATTATTACATTATTTGATGCTTCCATATTAGTGGAAAATTTCTCAACAGGGGCTAAACCCTTATCCATGTTAAATTTTAAAACGTTTGCTTCTCCTAAGGGCATTCAAACATTAAAAATAAATTTCAATAATTGAAAAATTACATTTAGAAGGAATAAAATCAAATATTTTAATTCCTTATTTTTCTAAAACCTAGGCACAATATATAAAACAAAAATTTAAATTTTATTCATACAATCAATAAATCATACAAATTGTAGCCATATCAATCATATAAACAGTAGCATATAAAATTATAAAATAAATAATAATTCTTTTAAATATTTTCTATTTATAAATACTGATTGTAATATTCAGATTACTGAATCAAGAAGCGGAAAAAATTACATTAAAAGTATTAAATTTTAAAAATAATATCAAATATAAATACCAATGTCATTGTAATAACCATGTCATTGTATTCTAAATTACCCACAATCTAAGTATGAATATGAATTCAAAAGCATTCAATAGAGAATAAATACCATTTCAGAAATTTAAAGGCACAATGGTAGAACAAAATGAAATCAATCTTTTTCATGCCCAAGCATGTCTGGAAAAAAACGGCATTGTTAATTTGTTGTTAACCCCTGAAAATTTATGTCACAATTTAATTACTAAAAAATTTTTGTGCAATTGAAATTTATCTAAATACATTTAGAGTTTTAATAGTTCTTTTCGAATTCAGCGAAGAAAATATCTTACATAACACCAGCAGGTGAGAAGAAACATTAATGGATGATGAAAAAGGAATCACTATTCATTGAATCGTTTTGTTTGAGAAAACACATTTTACTTTTGGAAAACTTTTACCCATTTTTCTATTCTTTTTTTTTCTTCTTTTTTTTATTCAGGATGTCAATTCCAGCAAATTTAAACTGTCCAGATTCTCGCCTCAATGAAAGTATTCTTTTCAATTAGCTGAACACAGAAATCCACACTTACTTTTGGTCTCAGTTTTTATCAGGATGGGTCAGCATTAGGCAATTATTTATTTAAATCACAGAAATGTCATATCTATCAGAAATCGAACTTCTGTTCTACACACAACCTCGTCGCCACTTCTGATAATGTATTCGCCATCAGACATGATTGTTTTTCTGGAAGGCGCAGTTCTAGAACTCACTCTTATTGGGAACAGTGGGATTTGTTTTATTTTTCACCTGCATTTTGGAAGAAACACAGGAATCCTGCCGGCTTTTCATGACAAAGTGACCAAGCAGGAAAAACAGATAGAACGTAAACACTTTTTATTGAGACATTTTTGAAAATTGGCAGAGCTTTAAATTACAATCCAAAACCCTTGTGCTTGAGTTTTTATCTTAGGGAAAGTAACACAAGTTTATCCCTATGATAGGTTACATCTCATGAAAAAAAGGAAATCTTAGTAATTGCAATTGATCCATTAAATAGGTCGAGGAAATAATGTGGTTCTCACATTTAGTAAAGGGAAAATTCTAAAATGTTATTTCTTACATACTTGAATCTAAATATAGAATAAAAAGACAGAATGTGATTAGTAAAGTGTGAGAAAGTATTTGATTCTGAATAATAAATTAAGATGGATCAGAATTTAGATAAGGAAATAATATAAAAAGAATAATCAAAGCTTTTTATGCTACACACACACACATATATATATACATATATATATATAATTGAATGTTGCATTTTTTGTTGTTTATAATCAAGCTATTTTTACAAATTTACTAACTGAAAAGTATAGTAAGAATTTGAAATCTAACAAGATATTTAAAAAAAAAAGCTGATTGAAAGTTTCTTTAAAATTTGCCTAACAGATGTAAGATTAATAAAAAGTTAAGTGTTTCTTTTAATACAAATATTATGTTACTTCTATTAAATGCAAACATCCTTTTTAACTTTTTACATCTTATGGAATCCATTTGAAGTTTTTTTTTATTGGGACATTTCAGTGAAAGACAGCCAGTTTTTATTTTTTCATGGTTTTTAGACTTTTTTACTTATAGTTTTTAACTGCTTATTCTAAACTCATATTAATTCTGTAAATATATTGCTACTCTTCTACCACACCTTACACTTGATACACACAATTATCATGCCTGATGCACACAAATCTAATATGTTATAAATTTTTTGCTAAATGGCTTCAAATGTTCTCATGCCAAATGTCTTCCTGTGTTTCAAGCTTAAAAAGATAAGTTAGCCTATGGTTACATATTTTTTTTTAACTTGATTTAATGATTTTACGCTGGAAGATATTTTATTATATGAAAACTACTGACCTTATTTAAATATTTCTATTGTGTAGTTGCGTAGTTTTAGATAGATTATTTTAGATAAATTAGATGTAAAGAATTGGTAATTTATTGGAATTTGTTGAATGTTTTACTATCAGAAGTATATATATGAAGTGTTGTGTCTTTTTTTCTTCAGATGCTCTTGATGAAAGTGGATTTTCATTTGTCCAGTGGTGCATAAATTTCATTGAATCAAAGGGACTGCAAGATCAAGGCTTGTATCGACTTGTGGGTGTTAATTCCAAAGTTTTAAAATTAACACAGCTAGCTCTAGGTAATTTATTTCAACATAAAATGTATTAACAATTTTTATCTGCGCATTTTAAGGAATTATAATAAGGTCATTTTTTAAAAAAAAATTTATAGTAATTTCTTTCTTATTGTTTAACTGATATGGTGAAAATCAAGCTTTGCCAAGATCATTTTAAGAAGTTTCTTTTTTTCATAATTAATAAGAATGAAGAAAAATGATGAAGAAGAATGATATGCACTACATCTACCTTTTTATTATTTATTTTTCTTTAAAAAGGAATTGTTTATCTTTATAAAAATTTTTGCTTATAATATTTGACACCTTTTTTTATGCTATAGTTTTATCAAATATAATTTTTACCAAATTTTCTTTACTGGAAAGTAGTTTGTTGTTTGGTGGGTTAAATAATTTTTGGTTGAAATATTTATCCTTTTTGGTTGTAAAACCTTTTAACTATTATTAATTTTTTTTATTTATCTGTTTTTAGAAAATAAAGGAAATAACTTGATCAGTGTAGATGACGAAGAATGTGAATTAAAAACTGTCACTAGTGCACTAAAAAACTTTTTCAGGTAATTTGTTTTTTATGTTATATTCATTTCTGATTAAAGCTTATTTAAATCATTTTTAATTTGAAAAAAAAAAAACATTCACATCCTAACAAATTTAAGTTTGAAGACAAGTTATAAATGGCCTTGCTTCAGAGTTCCCAAGTCCAGAAATTGAGAAATTTCTAATTATGAGTGGTATTTAAAAAGTGTCATTCATATATATGTGTGTGTGTTTCATGCAATTTCACCTTTTTCAATTCTTAAAGTTCTTTTAGCAACTTTTGCCCTCCTTTTCCTCCTTCGTCGCTACTGCTTTGAACCCAAAATTCAACCTTTCTTTTCTTATTATATATTTTTGTATGATTTTTTATTTAAATATTGAGGATGATGTTGGGTCGGTATTTATATACATAAAAACCTCAATAACTGGTGATGTTAAATATGAATATAAAGTAACTTAGTTAGAATTATTACTGTAACTAAAAAAAGGCATTCTTAAAGTGCATTTTTTAGCAATTAAGTTTTTTGATTTTTATTTATTTTTTTGTCGCTTATTTGTTTCTTGAACTTTCTTATCCTGTCCTCAAAATTTCTTAAACAATTTGCATTTTTATATCAAAATTTTAAAAGTATTTTTGCAATAGAGCCTAAATGCTAAATATAATGTAGGGTAATCTACAAAGTAAATTGTGCTAAGCAACACAAGAAAAAGAGAAATCCAATTGTAATGCATTAAATATTGAGCAACAATGGCTAGACTATTTTCAACAATGGTACCACAATCATTTAGGCATTTATTGTAGTGGGGCCTGAGTGTTTAGATGTTCTGGTCAAAGAATGATACCACCTGCAATTCCAATCATTAAGGGACTACAAATCTGTCATTGTGCTGAAATTGTTTAACAAGAATAAAGTACTTTAAGTGCTTGAAAAGAAATAAGTCACATTGGAGAGATCAAGGGTGAGCTCCTGGGGGAGTTGATTGCTGAGATCTTGGGAGAGTTGATCAAAAAATTCCCATCGTGACTCTGTGAGGCATTGTTGCATGTCAGACTCATTAGTTGTGCATTCTCATGCCACCTTCTTATCATGCAATTGCTCCTCACATTGCCTCTGAACTCTTCAATAATTTATCTAGACATTGGCCTCTGTTTTTCAATATATTTCCCAACCTTAAAAATCTACTTATTTTATGCATTCCTAAAAATAATTTGAACTTTAAATTCTCCAACACATTTCATGGAAATTGATGAGATGTACAATTATGAAAAAAAAAAATTTTTAAGTCATTTTTAAATTTCTAAAATAAATAATTAAAATTTCTACATTTAGACTACCTTTTAACTAATATTAATAATATATTGTTGCAAAACTGCTATTAGAGAAGTTGAATTGCTCTTGCAGACACAAATAGTTCTACTTCTTTTCATGTTATCGATATTAACAGTGTAAGTAGTTAAAATTTGTTTTTTATTATATTGCACTGCTAAATGTGTTATTTATTTCTAGGAATCTTCCTGAACCTCTACTTACATTCCGATTGCATGGTGCATTTATTGCTGCAGCAAGTAGGTTGATTAATCTATATGCATTTAATGATTTGAAATGTTGCTAAATTAAAGCAAATTTAAAAATTTGATAGATTTTGATTGTTATTATCATATTTTAAGTGAGTTAAGCTGTTTGCACTTAGCATGATAAAACCTTCTATTCTGATCCATCACTTGTACCAGCCATAACCGAAAAGTTCAAGTAAAATTTAAATGTATGTTGTTGTTTTTTTATGTGATGACAACACACATAAACAAAATCTTGTTGCTCTTCCAAACTAAGATTTTTCATTTTCCTTCACAAACTGTATTTTACTATGAAATTATCTCCAATAAATATATTTTTCATTGAAGTCTAGACTGCAATTTCTAAAAATTCAAAATTAAACTAGGTTGTTTATGTATTGATAGCACTTAAAATATGTAAAATAAACCTTTATATTCTTACAAATACATACATAAATTTTTATTTTATTTTCAATTCACATTCAGCATTCTGCTAAAAATTTCAGCCAATCCGTTGTTAACAAGGTTTTTTTTTTTTAATTATTCTAAAATATTTTGAGCTTCTTTATTTTTTAATTTACTTGCAGTTGAATTGGTCTTAGTATTTTACTCAAGATTAATTTTATATTGTAAAAAATATAAGGATATATTTTTCCCCTTCAAACTGAAACAGGGTGCGTAGCATTTTTAAAAAGTGCTTTAAGGTGCTTATTTTCATTTTTTAAAAGCCCTTAAAGGTGCTTTTTTCATTGGGTGTTTTTAAAAAGTGCTTCATTTTCCCTTTACTATGTTGATTTTTGCCACGTATTATGCAAAAAGACACTGTTCACATTGTTCTATTCAATGTTTTCACAATTAATTCAACCCCAGTCTATTTCGGTGTATAGTCGGTTAGTAGCGCATGAAAACGCCATTTGTTTTACATTATTCAAAATTTCATGATTTTTGACAATTGTCAAAAACTATGCCAAAAGTTTTTTCCCTAACATGACGGTTAAAACCGGATAAAACAGTCAATTGTCAAAAACTTGCCGACCCTGCCTAATGATATATTTTTTAAAGTGCTTAAAAATATTTTTGAGTGCTTGAAAAGTGCTGAAAAATTGCTTATTTTTTGTTGAGAAATTTGGCTACACACCCTGTGAAAGAACCTGGTTTTATTTAAGAAAAATTTGAACTATTTAAATGTTTACTTAAAACTTTTTAATTTTACTGATTTATTGATGCCAGATTATATTAGTTTATTTGTTTTTCTATTGTTTTTTTTTTCATGCTTTAAAAGGCTTAGGTCTCTCTTCTGATGGTTCCATTTTAATAGTATTTTTAATATTTGCTTTATCTCATAGAGCTCTGTTAATCTAATAACTTTCTATGCAGCACTCAGTATAAGAGTAGGACCTAGATGGTCTCCTGTAGAGTTTTCACTGGAAAAAATGGTATGGTAGGAAGATTTAATGTAAATTATCCTAACTTAGCATGACAGTTTAAATATTAATATAGAGTGTTCTAGCTATTTGCATAAAGCAGTAAATAACTTTTAATAGTTTAAAAATTTTCATGTGTGAATGATTTTTCCTAATGGCTAAAATACCTGTTTTTTTTCGACTAAAATATGGTATGGTAATTATTCCATAACCTTAATTTTAAATGTTTTAAAAGAGAGCAGTTACATAACTGCTTTGGTAGGGCAGTCGGTAATGGTGTCCTTCACCTTGCTGGGGAAGAGCCAGGGTTTTTGGTTTGATCCTGCTGCTGACTAAACAACCAACTTAAAATATACACTTCAAGGTGCAAGTTAAATCTGTCATGGCTTAAAGTCCTCTAGTTTTTTGTAATGTGGAAGTTTGTGGTTACGAGATTAGATGCAATCTGTGTCGTCAGACCGAGATCAGAATTATATGGCATACCTGCCATGTCTGTTAAAAAGATAGATCCTTAAAAACCAGGTGCAGGTGCTTGGCTATGGTTGGGTGGTGTGTGAACAATTGCATACATACATAGGAGCCATGATGGCTCAGGGGATAGAGCATTCTCCTTCCGATGAGGTGCACCGGGATCGAATCCCAGCCATGGCTGTTTGATACGAATTTCGCAATAAATAAAATTTAATAATCAATAAAATAATTTCTTCAAAAATATTACTATACTGCAAATCATTAATTTCTGTTCGAAATTCTGTGGCAGAGATTTCTATGTCAGTGTTCAAAAGATTTTGAGAAATCATGATATCTTGTTTGCTTCAAAATCTAAAAACGAGACTCAAAAATTTTTTTTTAAGTAACCTAGGCTTCCAGAAATAAAATCTCAGTTTGCTAACTGAATGTTTGATTTATGAATATGACGCATTTTTTGTGCCATTTGGATCAATTCAAAACTTTGTAATGCTCTAAATTCTGAATATGAATGTGTTTTTGTGAAGGTATAAATTCTTGTTAAATTTTTTTTATCCTGTGCTGTAGGATATACATTCCTACTTTAAAAGTCGTAATATATGTTTAAAATAATTGTATTTATCTTTATGCTTTCAGAACAAGAAAATAGGATTTTAAGAATTAATAACATTCATTCCTTAGTCCATTCCCTGCCTAAACCAAATTTCAAAATGTTGGAGCTTCTAACTAGTCATCTGTGCAAGTAAGAATTTTTTCCTATGTTTTTTTTACTCATTTAAATCTTTTAAGTAAAAAGAAGCACAGAAACTCCTTGAGATTGCAAAGTTAATGGAAAAAATATTTTTATTTTTAATTCCAAATTTTGTATTGCTTTTGTGTTTTTCTAGTTTTTTTAATGTGTATATATATATATATATATATATATATATAAAATTTAAATTTTATTATGTGTATAGGTGGGTAAGTAATATCAGTTGATTCATTTTTTTCCAACATTTTTGGTATAAAATACAAATATTTAACAAAAAAGTAAATTATAAAATCGAACTTCAAACATAACTTTATCTTTCACCCGCATCCTTAAATCCTTATTTATTTATTTAATTTTTTTTTTTTGCTGTTTAGCTATTTTGTATTTTTTAAAGTTTTTGCAAGATTTTTCTAAAATTTGTATTGTTAAAAACACTATTATTATTTATCTTTGCAGTATTTTGCGATTGTAAAAGCAATATTAATAAGATGTGATTACATTGATTAATGCATTGTAATCAATATATATTTATCAATCTTTTTTCATCAAGTTTGTGTATTTCTGTCAAAAAGTTCAATCTGTTGTCATATATATTCCATACACTTTTACTAAATTAAGTTCATTTAATCATTTTTTTCAAGCATTTTAATTTTATTAAATGTCAAATTTTCATCCAGTATCATGGATCATATCAGCTACACAGACTTGTGTTTTTCTCGAATTCATACTTTCTTATATATGATACACTTCCAGTTACTTACAAAAATAATCCAATTAAATTTGTCAAGATCACACATCCATCTTTGTTTTGAAATCATTTCTAAATTTTTTATCTGTTGATTTCCCTTTTATTGCAAATCATTCAAAAAATCGTGCTTGCTTATGTCATTTATTTATTCTTGCTAATATTTTAGAATAGCAAAATTGTCTCACAAGAACCTGATGACAATTTCTAATCTGGGTATATGCTTTGGTCCTACTTTATTGCGTCCTGAGGAAGAAACTGTTGCGGCTATAATGGAGATAAAATTTGGAAATGTTGTAGTTGAAATTCTCATAGAAAATTATGATAAGGTAATAATACCTAAATATAGCGCTATTTTAAGAAATTTGAAGTAATTGTAAATTCATAAGCTCTTAAAGTTCTTAAAAATTTAAAGTATAAAACTGTTAAGGTCCTTATAAAAAGTTTGTTTTTAATTTTTGTTCTTAATTTTTCCGGCAGCGATCAAATTCTTAAAATGTTCATATTTTTGCATCCTGTTTATTATATCCTGTAATTGTTTTTAAATCGGATGATCAATACGGCACATGCAATTTTATCAAAATATGTTTTTCAATTTTCATTGTTTTTTTGTAAGATACCTTTATTTGTTCTAAGTTTTTGTTATCTGTTATATTAAGACAATCTTATTTTTATGAATATATCTAGTTATTTACATTACTTTATGCACTTGATTTATGTTCATAATTTTTTATTTTTCTTTCAAATAAAACTTTTAATTATAAGAAAGAAAATAGTATCAATGTATGTTTTTTTACAGATTTCAATTGTATTGTAAAATTGTAATTCTGTAAAAAAAAAAGTTAAATTCTAATTATCAATTATTTTCTTCATCTAGAATTTTAGAATTGATCTTTCTTTATTCTTTTTTTTTTTTACCAGTAATATTTTAAGCAAACATAACAAGATAAACATTACCTTTTGATATTAAAAGTAAATTAAAGTAAAATTTAAATAGCTTAAATTGTATTCGAAGTTTTTTTTTAAACAAAAGAGAAAATAATCTGAGCAAGGTTTTTGAAGTTCTTTCTTTTAATTTTTTTTAAAAAAAAAATATCTAATTTTTTTCTGTTGCAAAAATGATAGCAATAAAGGTTAAAAGGTCTTTTGAAGCTTTCTATTTTAACCTTTTTATTTGAGTATACATCTTGGTTTTATGAAATAATAAACTGTGATAAATCTGCTTAAAATGATTCAGTAAAGTTATATTTGCTTAAAGTAAGAAAATTGATTTAGTTACAACTGATCAAAATTTATTGGAGCCCATTGTAACTTGAAAGCTCTGTAATGTGCTTGAAGATATACTATAACTAATTATTACAATAAAAGCATAAAATTAATATTAAATAAACGTAACATTTGTTTTGAAGGAATGACTCTCTCTGACTTCTAATTATTCAGGTTAATTTCAATGAGTTTTGTCTTTTAAATTTTGTTTTTGGAGCATTTTAAATTTTGCACAACTTAATAAAATATTGTCTTCTAAAAGAGTTCTGTTATATTTGATTTTAAATTTCACTATTTAAAAAAATGAGAGGAAAAACACATTTGTTCACCAAACTGATTTTTGTTCTTTCAAAACTGGTTCTTTTTTTTATGTTTGAAACTGAATTCCATTTTATAATTATTATATAAATTGAATTCTGTTTGAGAAATAAGTACTGTTTAAGCAAGTACAGTTAGGCATTCAAATTTTTTGAATGCACCACAAGCATATATGCCTTTGTGGACAGTTTAAAAATGTACTAGCAAAAGAAACATTAAAATTTATTATGAGATTAGCGGAAAAACTGCTTTCTACATGCATAACTTTTAAAGTACCAATTATTGATAACTTTAAATTTTTTTTCTCTTTTTTTTACTTAGTGTCCTCTATAACTATACATGAACTAGTCTTCCTCTCATTTTTAGATTTTTAAAACATTACCAGATGGGGATTTAGTTCGCCGCCAGCCTCCACCTTACATTCCTCCTCCTCCACCCAATAGAAAAGAAACTTCTCCTCTGCCACCGTCACTTAGGAATAGATCTTCTTTGATGGATACAAAGAATGTATCATTTAATATGACTAATTATGCACCTAATCAATCAAGTTATTCCCCTTCTGATCAAAAACAAAGAACAGGAATGATGCTCTATAATCCAATTTGGAACAGTATGTTTCTATGTTTTATTCATGTATTGTTACCGTACATCCCGGTGTGTAAGTCAACTTTTTAAAACCGCAAAATTTTATGAAAACCGGGTGGATCATTTTATGAATCAACTTATATACTGGTACTAAAGTTGAAACTTCATTTATCATGAAATATTAATGCAATATAAACAGTAAGATATGAATAACTTTGTATCAATTTAACCCTTTCAAAAACTATTTTTAATATATTATATACTGTTAATTTTGAATTTTCTCACATCGTATTTTCTTTACATATAAAGGTGTTTTTTAAAAACAATAATATTTCAATGTTTTTGACTTGATAAAAGGTAATTAATTAAAAAAGTTCATCTTTTTTTATTTTAGAAATTTTCTTATTTGATGTTTTTCAGTGGTTGACTTGCCGGATATGCCAGAAATTTGCTATATTGTAATCAAAAATAGGGGTTAACTTATGCACCTTTTTTTTAAAGAAAAAAAAACTAGATTTACTGACTGTTTTTTCAAATTTAAATTATTTTTTAATCTCTCAATGCATATCATTATATATATATCTATCTATATATATGCAGTGAAACCTCCGTTAAGCGGACATTCTTGGGACCGAACAAATTGTCCGTTTATGAGAGTTGCCCGTTTATGGGAAGGGTACCCTAATAACGAAGTTTAACACAGTAAATTGTTTTTAGAAAATTTTCAAAGATGTAGAAATAATTAAATAATCTACAATAACTATCTACAAGGATATTTATTTAAACTTTAAGAAAATTAAAAAAAGAATATATAAAGAAGTTTGATATGAATACATAATTTTAGATGTAGATACAGATAAATGAATATAATTTTCCTACCATCATACGTACTCAAGTTAGACATATGATACCGAATAGGAGCTTTCAGTCCTCAGTCGGTTTCAATTATTAGGTTTCATTCCCTTTCACCTCCGTATCATTTGATAGAGAACGTGATTTATACCTTTTTGAAAGTAAACCTCCCAGGATTCACAGGAAGAAAAAAAAAGCAATGCCTACCTGTAAGTCATGAGAGCCTATGGAGTTGATTATTCATAATGGATCAACTATCAAGTGTCTGGATAAATGTTTCATTTATATGAACACCTCAAAGATTATACTTCTGTTCTCTTTTTTACCCCAGCTGTGTTAAATACAGTCTTGATATTGATAAGAAAATTAAAGAAATTTTCAATGGGGAGGGAAGAAGTGTTGAGAGCATTTAAGATCAACTTGAGGAGTCTCATAACCTGTGTGGTTCAGATGAAAACATCAGAAGATGCCGCTGTCCGAATTATTTCAGGAGAGCAGAATCATTTTCTTTCCTTTCTTTACAAAAATAAGGCAAGGTGACAGGAGAAAGATTGATTCTTCAGTAGTAAAATAGCTTAACAATATTTTTAGTTATGGATAAGACAAAAAATTTACATGCTTTAAAAATGGTAAAAAGTTGCATTTTCCCAATTGATTCCAAAATTTGCAATTTAAAGCAAATATGGTTTGTTTGTTTTTTTCAAATTTAGAAAAAGTAGTGTCCGGTTGAAGAGATAGAAAATAACGTTGCAGGGCCAAAATGACTGTCCGAGTCTGGTTACTGGAGTGTCCCCTTTGCGGAGAATGTACATAATGGTTTACTCATAGAAGATTCCTGGGGAATAAAAAATATGTCCGTATTAAGAGGTGTCCGTTTTGCAGGAGTGTCCATAACCGGAGGTTTCACTGTATATATATGTCAGCTACTTCGTTATTATTTTTAATGTATTTCATTACAGTTTGTGTAAAAATAAATCCACTCTTCAATGGTTCAGCCTGTTTGATATGGAAATTTAAATTAAATATATTTTTCCCAAGTTTCAACATGCATATTTTTAAGAAAATATTTATTATGTAATAAAGTAGGAATTCTCAACCTGGAAAGAAATTAGACAGTCATATGGTGGAAATTGGTTCTATCTTACTTATTGTTCAAAACTAAATACCAGCATTCAAGAGAATCTAAAAGAAGTTCTAAAAAATAACGTATAAAAAGAGTAAAATAAATAAAACTACTCAGCAAAAACAATTATAGAGGGGCTAAAATATTTGCTTTTATGATACCTCCAATCTAGTTCAAATATAAAAAAAATGTGATTGTGTGAAAGATTGAAATGTCAAAAATGTAAAATTTTGAAATGAATTTTAATTATCTCAGGATTTAGATTTTTTTCCTTTGTAGTGCTTGAAGTTTTTTTCGAAAAACTTAACAGTGTTAAATTTTGGATATAACAATAAAGAAAACAAAGGAAATAAAAATATGACCACCGAAGCCGACGTCTTCAGGGGGTACCGGCCTCGGAAGCCATAAAACAAAACCTTTTCTATTGAGAGAGAGGCATAATTAAATGCTAAAAGTAACTCTGTCAGTACACCGAAGGTTTTGTATAAGTCCAGGAAAAAATACATAAAACCAATTCAGAAAAGAAATTCAAACAAAAACTTGAGAAAATAAAAACTCACATTAAACCGGTCAAACAGCGATTTCACAAGCAAACTAAATGCAAAGGAAACACTTTAAACAAAGGAAAACAACGCCCTCCATTAAAATGCGCAGATTGAAAAAAAGGGAAGATTACGTAACAAATTAATATAATGCTTAACTGGGGCTGCTCAATTAAGACTTGAATTGCGCCCTGTTAAAAGAAGTAAAAATCTAGTGTTCTTCAATCATTTTCTTAATCAAAAAATTTACATTACAAAAGTTAAAAGGAAAATCATTATAACTCAAATTATTCAAAAAATTATTCACAGCCTCCTGAAAACTTTCAACGTTATTGCAAATATTTTTAATCCTAACCAATTGTGAAAAAAATAAATTTTTAAAAATTTTATTTCACAGATTAGTATTAAAGTTGCAGAAAAAAATAACTTTAAATTTAAAAGCTTTCTTTTTATCAAAAACACCTATTTTGATTATTTTATCAACAATGTCAATTTTAAAATCTAAATATTCAACGTTTAAGCAATTCTTATTAGTTTTCTTCAAAACCAAATCTTTAGGATAAATACTATAAATAAAATTAAAATTATCACAATTAAACAAAATCAAATCATCAATATATCTAAAAGCTTTAAATTCACTACACTCATTAAATTTAGCTTCAAAAAAATGCAAAAAAAAATATTAGCAAGCGCACCAGAAAAGGAATTCCTCCTCCTCATTGGCACGACATCCCAGGATGGGCCCTGGCCTTCTCAGCAAGCCTATGCCAAGACATTCGTCCCTTAGCCAAGGTTCTCCAGTTTAATATCTTTAAAACTTGTAGGTCCTTTTCAAGGCAGTCTAAAAATCTTAGGTTTGGTCGTCCTCTTTTTCTCCGTATGTAAGCACTGATCGTATAAGACATTTATAGAGTAACACTTTTGTTTTTCTTTTTATTAGGCTTGACTTGAGATATTTTCTTAGACCATAAAAACACTTCAGAAAGGGAATTACCTTGTGGAATTCCAATAATTTGTTTATAAAAATCTAAACCATTAAAAAGAACATTCTCAAAAAGATTAAACCTACATAAATCCAACCAATAAGACTTATCAATTTTCTCATTAAATAAATACTTATCAAAAATTTTGCTACAAATTTCAATAATCTGTTCATGTGGTATACTTGTATACAAATTTTCAAAATCAAAAGTATTAATGCTAGAAATATCATTATTATTAATATAATCCAAAACTTCAACATTACTATCTATAACAATATTTTTCTCTTTTTTTAGTTTTTATGTAAAATATTATTCTTTCTTTTGAAAATTCTGCTGCTTTTAAGCGTGTTTCTTTCAAAGATAGTTTTATCAATTTAGAATTAATTATTTTACTATTAAATTTTAGATATTTATTAGTAGTTTTATAATTTTAAGTTTTCAATGGTTGTTACTTTTGAAATTTAAACATCAATTCTTTTTAATTTAGTCTTAATCTTTTTAATTTAGGCAGCATTTTTGGCAAGTGCTCTTTTTTATGGGCTGATTTGTCCCGTGTTTTTTCTAGTTGCCCACACTAGCATGTTATTTAATTTTTTTATTCCAATATTTTTTATTGTTAAATTGTTAGATTTATGCTTTAATTTATAAAGGTGAAAATCTCTAACCAAATTTTGATAATTATCAATATCTAAAAATTTACAAAACATCTTTTTCATAATGTACAATAATAAGTTGCTAGTAATATTGTGTTCGTATAATTAAAAGATTTAATTAAAAAACTATTTTCGTGTCAAAAATACCCCTGTCACTCTATTTATTTTTTAATTATTATTTTTTATTAGAAAAGTTTAAATTTTCTGCTCTTGTGTCTTAACTTATGGGGCAAGTAAAATTTTAATTTATGTATTTTTATTTTTTAGGTTTTACTTTTCTTTGGCTTCAAATATTCTCGTATGAGAATATATTTGTATAATTTATCGTTAAATGGTGAAAAATATATATTGTGAAATTTCTACAAGAATTCCAAATGTACCTAGACCTTTGTGGCACACTGTTTTATCAATGTATTGCTTCATGAAATTTTTTGTTCATCTAATTACTTAAAAACCTAAATGCCTTTTAGTGTGCAGAAAAACACATAAATTCTTGATTTTATTGTATGTTGTTGTACATTTCACAAATACTATATCACTAATGTTAGAATGTGATAGTCTACTCTAAATATTATGCTCTTTTAAAGGACTTCTTTATTTATCTCATTTTATATTTTTTTGCTCAGATGGTTTACCTCTGAATGACAGTATTGAAAGTGTAGTCTCCCGCACTATAGAACCATCTCTTCCAATCGAACAGAAAAACTATCCATATTATCCAGGTTGGAATAATGAAAGTGGGTTACCTCGAACAATTGGAACGAATTCCTCAGATATAGGTAAGATACTTGTATATTTTTTGTGAGTTAATAACTGATAGTTCAAGTGATCCATTGAGATTTCTTAAATATCAATTCTAAATAAATTAAAAACCTTAGTTTTTGTAGAAATTGAATAATATTCTTAATGAATTATTATACACCCCCAGTATTTTATCAATTCTATTCTCTTTTTAAATTTTAAGCTCATATACATAAATTTTTAAGAATAGATTTCCACATTCTGTTGTCTTTGTGAAATCATGTTCGGATGAAATTATTGATAAAGGTTTATGACATTTATACCTGACTTAATAATTAATTTACTGCTGCCACCTCATGAAAAATAATTTTTTCTGTCTAGTTTATGATTTTTTTCCAATATTTTTTTTTAGGTTCTCAAGAAATATTTGCACCTAATGATACATTGTCCACATCTGTGTAAGTATAAATTGTTTGATATTTATATGAAATGCATTAATTTTTATTGCCAGTTAGAATCCACTTAAACTATAAGATTAGTGAAACTGTAAATGAAATCATTTATTAACTATCTACCCAAAGATATCTTATTTGTTTCGAAATTAAATGATGAACTTGGGGTAATATTATTAAAAAGGCCCATTTTCAATTTAATCAAGTGAAGGTTTTTAGTGAATAAGACAATTTCTATGTAGGGAATAAGAAGTTTGTATATATTGTGGTGTTATATAGTGGGAATTCCAAAAACTTCTGAAGTACCTACTTGGAGACAATATGAAGGGAGAATTTAATTTATAAATGTCACTTTGGAAAAAAAATTTGTCAATTGCTCTAAACCCTTGGAGTTAAATTGCTGGGTAGCAACAGAACACTAATAAATAGGAAAGGGTTAAGAAATATTATCAATCTGGAATAATCAGGGAAATATGGGCAAATTTAACAGAAATACTCAAAACATCATATAAAATTTTTAAAAAATATTTAATCCTCTTCCTGTGTTTGATTTAACATTTATGGATATGGTATTATGTGTGCCCTGTTTTTGATGTAATGCTACATTCTAATTTAGTCCTTCCATTTCCTCTTATTTTTGATGTATCATTTTGTTCTCTGCATCTTGCCTGCATACAACCGAATGGCATTAAAACTGGCAAGAGGCTAAGGAATGAAAAAAAAATATTCTTGTATATTTTTTTTTTAAAGGAAATTTTTTTTCAACTTAATGACAAATATAAGTGTTTTCTAATATATTTTATGTTTAAGAATGAGGCATAACTGAAAAATTTATAATGAAATCTATGCAGCCAGTTGCAAAATTCAGGAAATTTGATAAATCATTGAAAAGACAAATTTTCTTTCCTCAGTGTTTGTGACCTCCTTGAATTGTAGCACCATGAGTTAGTATGCTTATTTTCTATGCTTTGCAAGCTTTTTTATGCTTATTTTCTTTCTTTTCTGCTAAATACAAGTGAAGCTCTATATAATAAATAAGGTGGTCCAAACTAAAATGGAGACTAAATGGACAACTCATATATACTGGAATTATTTTAACAAAAACATAATTCTTCTATCCACTTCCTTCAAAGTTTTTAGTTTCTGTTTTAAGCATGTGATGTTACTCTGATTAGGAGTAGCGATTTTTGCTCTATGACATGCATCCAAGGAACTATTTAGTAAAACTGAAGTAGAAAATGGGAAAATCACCATGTGTTCTAACTCCAAATTGAACCACTTATCACAGGATTGCACAAAACGAGTAAATATCATCTTCAAATAAGAAAAATATAAATTTATTGAACCCTCCCTTTGTAAAGAATGTTAAGGACAAATGTTATGAATGCACATAGGAGGCTCCGATTTCCCCACAGGGAAATATGCACTTCTAATTCACTAAACTGAAAAGCTTGGAACATTTTTCTCCATCTTTTTTAAAATAAATTATGCCTAAGACTACCTAGAATAAGACTGGGTGGTCCTGTCACTCTTCTTTCCTAGAGAATTCAAAAAATTCCATGTTTATTGAGTTATAATTTCAAAAGAAATAGTTGCCTGTATCATTTCCCGGAGACTTTTGTTATTATTTTCAATCTAAAAATCTTGTTTAGTTGAAAAATTACTTAACATCTCTTTTTGGGGTGATTTTCTTGAAATTAATAAAAGATTTGGTCGCTATATTAAAATGAATATATTTCACTCAGCGTTGAAGTAACATTTTGTCCATGGAATAGCAAATGGTACTTTGTATAACAGTCGTTATAATGAAAAGGTTATAGTAATGGGTTGTTGTACTAAAGAGCAAATAAGTTATTTAAATTAATAATGAGTTCATAAAAATATAAGTTATTTAAGCAATTCTTGACTTATACTTAAGTTATTAATTTTTTAATTTATATATTATTAATCTTTTATAAGCACCTTAGATTTTTATTGGCATTGTTTCTTCTTTTTAACATGATGCATTTTTAAGATTTTTATTCAGTTTAAACTTTATATTAGATATTTGTTTTAATTTTTGTATATTGTTTTCTACATATTTAGTTCCTTATTACATCAATATGTTTGTTCCATACTACAAAAAGTATAGATCTCAGAACCATCCTAGCCATAAGATAATAACTAACAAATTTTTTAGGAAAAAAAAAATAATTTTTATTTTTACTGATTGTTATGCAAAAGGTATAAGTTTTATTGAAATATAGACATTGTATTGCCTATCAAAGTAGGTTGTAATTAAAGGAAACTATCTTTCATACAATCACTAATCAATTCTGTCTGAGAGAATCGCTCATGTGTAATGATTAATGCATTAAATTTTAGATTAGACTTCCCATTTAAAACAAGAAAGTTGTCTGCGGTAGCCTTATTAAAATGAGACTTCATTGTTTAATTTATTTGACCTCCTACAATCTGACTGGTTCTTTGATTCTCTGAGTTTATTATTTAAAATTTTGATGAAAGATATTATTATATGTTTCTTATTTTGTGTTTGCATGTTGATAATGTTTATATTTTTTTGTTGTCCAATTTTTAAAAATGTGAAAAACAAAGTTCTAATTTGCTTTCTTATATTTATCCTTAGGAAAGTAAGGACTCTATATGCTTGTAGAGGTGAAAATGAAATGGAACTTTCGTTTGAACCCAATGAAGTTATTTATAATGGTAATATCTTTAAATGTTTATAATGCTCATACTTAAAATTTGTTTATTTAACGAAAAAATATTCTTCAGCTTTTTAAATCAATCTTCAACAGTATGTTAGTTTGTTAACAACTATAACTTTTGTATTAGGTAATTTTTTAACTGTACTGTTTGACTAAAATAATTCTGCCAGAATTACAGATAATTCCTGACTATGGCTATCTCAAACAGATTTATTCATCTTGATCAATTAGTCACCTCTGTTCTCCACATCTATTAACCCCATTATTGTTCAGCAACTTTTCTATACCATCTATTCATCTCTGTACCCTACCTAATAATTTTCTGTTCTCCATATCTGTTCACGTCACAGTTTTCCACATCTAAGCCCTCCCCACCCCCCCANCAAAAATATTAAATCATCAGCGATTTTTCTACATTATCTAACCATCTCTGTAGCCTACCTCTATTCATTTTTCCTTCTAGCTTATGGAAAGTTATTTTTTGAACTGGGTTCTCATTATATCTATATTCATTTCCAAGCCATTTTATAATTTCCCCTATATTTGGTTCTCTAAATTTATTGTAAAACTCATAGCTGTATCTTTTTTTCTACATATCCTCTTTTACTGCATCAAAAATTCTCAATATCCTTTGTTCCCATGTTAGTAATTGATTTTTTCTACTTTATTCATCTTCTAGACTTTCTTTTATATAAAATTATTGGTCTTATTAATGTCTTAATTTCCTCTACCAATTCATTGTATTTATTTTTAAGATGTTATGCACAACAACTATAAAATATGCCATTAAATTATAATTACATAAATCTATAGCAGAAACTCAAATAATATCTGCAAAACTAATAAAGATAAGCTTAATTGTTATTTTTATCTTTTTATTTATTACAGATCTTTGCAAACGTCTGAAACGTTTAGCATTGTTCTTGGGAAAAAAAACTACTCTATTTAATTTTACACAGTTTAAAAAAATTTTCACAGTTAAAATAAAAAATCAAGATATCAAAGATTTTTACGGTTTAATATAGACAAACTATTTTGAATTCAATTTTTCCTTTCTAAATGCATTTTAAAGACATGAATTCATTTTTAATAATAGTTTAATTTGTAAGTTGTTGATTTTATTGGGAAGACTTGTTGATCTCCTTTTGTGTTTTAATTAAAATGTTTCCTTTTTAGTTTCCCCTTCTCAAGAGCCAGGATGGATACGAGGAACCTTAAAAGGTAAAACAGGATTAGTACCAGAAAATTATGTGGAATATATTACTTGATGTTCTGACTGTGTGAATAAAATGAAGAATTCCTGATATTTTTTATCATGTTGCCTATTATTATGAAAAATAATTTGCAGCATAACTAGCTCAACAACAGTGTATCATGTAAATTTGTAAACTTTTTAGTAGAGATATAAGCATTCCAGATGTATAGAAAATATTATCTTGTGTACCACCAAAGTATTATTTATGACTATAAATTATTTTATACATTTTTATGTGATTTTTTAATTGTTTGACAAGTCTTGTTTGTGAAATATTTAAAATAAAAAAAAAGTTTAATACATAATTTATTTTAATACAATCTGTACTTTATCATCAAAAATATTAAATCATTTAGCCTTTATTTATTAATATGAATCACATGTGTTGTGTGCAGGATTTTATATCTTGTAAAAATGAATCTTAAATAGTTGCTTTTCAACCATTTATTCTCGCAATTTATTTGTATTAATGTTGGGCTATAAGTATCAACAGACGTACCATGATGAAAATACTGGTTCTCACACAATCATCACCAAAGTCAAGTATCAGAAAAACAAACATTTCAAACACACAAATGTTTTTGTTGCTTTAGCAAAACGATTTTAATAATGTTGAGATTTTTTGCACTATTAATAACAATTTTACGCCTAGTCTAACAATTATGCACTTTGAAACTGTACCTAATGAAACATCTTCAATTATTTAACAATTTACTTTTCCTAAGATATCCCTCATACAATGGTTGACAAATAATTGGAGCTTATACTGTATATGTACGATGTTCCAGTTTTTTACTCTAAGTTAAAATAGATGTATTATCAGTAAATGAAATATTCAACCCCAAACTTTCCTTAGAGCTCGGCTCCTATACTCAATAAAAATTTTCACCAAATCACTGGGAAGTATCACTATTGTTAAGTAAAGGTTAATTTTAAAATATATATGTCGATTTTTTTTATGTACAATTAAAGTAAAATGCACTTTAATTTAAAATGTTGTATTGTAACTTAACAGTCGAAGAAATAATTTTTGAAAAATATATTTGTACAAAATATTGAAATTTAAAAAACCATTCTAAGAAAAAAAATTAGGCATCAATGTCACACTTGGAGATATATGACAAAAAAAACTTTTTAGTGAAGATTTATGGACTAGAAAACTATTACAAATGATACATTAAATTTATGCACATGTTTTTTTTAATTAACTTTATAACTTAGAAAGAAATTTGGTTTTAGAATTAATAATTATAACTTATTACTAATTTATTTATCAATATTGATTTTTCAATATTTTTCTGTGTGTGTGTGTGTTTTTTTTTTTTTTTTTCTTCAAAAAACTCAGTTAAATATGGGTTCAAATGTGGTTTATTAAGTTTGTGATGAACAATAATTTAAGTATTGTTGTAATACTAATTTGAGCAATATTTTTTTATATAATTTTAAATATTAGTTTAAATAATTTTTATGCTATCGAAAAGTTCTTTTGTTTCTTATGGATCTCACTTTCAACTAGCTAAACTCTTACAAATTCTTACAACTGCTGCAAAATTTCCTTTGACTCCAAACCAAAGACACTTTAGATCCTACATACTACACTACATTCTTGACTACTCCTTCTTTTTTAAAGAAAATATATTATATTAAAACATATCTATTTACTTAATTTTTGAAAAAATATGTGTAATATTTTCAAAACTGCCTATGTATGACCAGAATACTTATGAAACATTTTGAAAAATTTTTTAGTTATCTCCAAAACACACTATGTTTTACTGATATGTGAATTTCTTTTAATGTTCTCTGTGGTTTAAGCGCAAATTAATATTTCTGTAAAATATTAAGCCGATTCTTTCATCTGAAACTAGTTTTAATTAAATAATGCTGTTCAAAAAATTTTTAAACATTTGTTACGTGACATCCAAAAACTAAAATTCATTTTAACATTTAACCATACTTAACATGATATGTAAATGGAAATTTCAAGTATATAACCCTGTAATAAGAAAAGCTGCATATAATTATTCACCTGTTTTTAAAAAAAAAATTTTATCATTGACTTTATCACCTACTATGTACTTATCTATTTTGAAAAATTAATATTTGTAAAAAAAATGCATAATTTTAAGCATTTATGAGTATTTTTGGAGCATATGAAGCCCTTTTTTGTTTTAAACTTGTTTCAAAAGAATTGTGTTGTATAAAAATTCATATTGCATCCAATAATATATAATTTACAAACAATTAAATTGGCAATTTCCTTCTTTCATTTTAAAATCCAATTTTATTATTATTCTCTACATATAGCTGTTCTTTTTATTTTCTAATAATACTTTATAACTATGTAATTTTAAATCAAAATCAGAATGAAATCAGTTAAATTGTTTTCGAGAAATAAACATTTTTTAGTTTAAGTGCACAAACATTACGGTAATAATTATATCAAAAATAAAAAAATAGTATTACCAGTGATATCTTAAAAATTCATGTATATATTTAAGCAAGTAAAAAACACTCTACTTATTATTTAATTTGACACAATCTTTCAGAAAATCAACTGAAATACAAAAAATATTTATGTAAGAAGACGTTTTTAGTTTCATGCAATTAAAGAAAATCTACGAAATCAATCACAAAATAAAAATAATTAATATTTTTCATATTTTAGATGATTTGTATTAAATTATGAACAAAAGCAAAAGAACTATCACTGATTTAAGTAAAGGGTTAAACATAAAGGTGGAATGATGATTTCTCATTTCTGTATTTAAAGCAGAAACTGAAAAAAATCATCGGTGAGTTTTTTAATCTAGACGCAGCTGGAAATTTGTTCTTACAATATTGGACTCATCTCGAAATGCATGTTTACAAAAATGGATACATCTCAAAGTATGTGTTTACGAGAATGGACCCTGCAAAAAATGTGCATTTTCAGTTTTCAACCCAAATTTATTAACTTAACTGGAAATTACGAGCTTTCTTTTACTTACTTCTTAAAACACTGCCGGGCAAAATGCATGTTTTTGAAAATGGACAGTTCAAAATGTGTGTATACGAAAATGGACTGAAAAATGCACCTTTTCAGTTTTCAACCCAAAATTAAAAAAACTAGGCAGTACGTTGGCTCAAAATGGTGACCTCAAATATGCTAATTAATAAGTGCAAACAATATTTTAAGTTACGAAATCTGTCTCAAAAACGTACTTTCTCTGAATAAACATGCATTTTTATTCAGATCTAACCCATTACTGTTAATTTTACTTTTTACATATTTTGCTATATCTCTAGAAATTTCTAAGCGAATTGAAATATTTTTGCAGACAATTATAAAATTTGTTTATCCAAAGATAATTCCATACAAAAATAAATTTTAGTCAATATTTTATTTTGCAGAAGTAGAAACAATTTTGAATTTTAAGGTATTCAAACTTTTGCATCATTAAAAAGAGTATAATTTTACATGATAAAATACAAAATTTAAACAAAATTGGTTAAACAGTTCCTGAGAAATTAAATTTCAGACTTTTAAAATTGGATTTCTCAGGAACTATTCATCCGATTTGCTCAAAGTTTGTATTTTGCTATGTAAAATTATGTTCTTTAAAAAGATGCGAAACATTCTACACCTTACAATTCAAAAATTTTTTGACCATTATTAAATAAAATAATAAATATTCGCTAGAAGTTATTATTTGCCTGGAATTATCTTTGGATAAACGAATTTTATAACTGTGTGCAAAAATTTTTAAATTCATTTAAATAGTTCTCGAGATATAGCGAAATATGTAAAAAGAAGAATTAATATTAAGGTGTCCAAACTTTGGAGAGCTCTTTTGACCAAACTATTGGGACAATATTAATATATAAGGGGTCCAAACTATAGGGATCAATATGTAAATTGTTGGCACTGGAAGGGAATGACATCATCTGCAAATAATCAGGGGCATAAAATTAGAGTAGAAGGGAACGTTTGAGGTGGGCTTTGTAGCATGTCAATGGAGGGCTGTTCTGTTCACAAATGAGTCCAGATTTAGCCTCCAAAGTGATAGTAGGCTTTGTTTGATTTGGAAATAACCTGGAACCCAATATTATTCATGAAATAAATGCATACCATGGAGGCAGCTTCTGTGTGTGAATTGGTATCTCTGGGTGGACGCACAGACCTGCATGTCTTTCCACGTGGAACCGTGAATGCTCACTTGTATAGATATGGCATCCTCGATGTTTATGTGCGGCTTTACGCTGGTGCAATAGGTGACGATTTCGTGCTACATGACGATAACGCGATGCCGCACAGGCCAGGCCTCACATGGTGGATGATTATCTTCAGCAGGAAACAATTCAGCTCAAGGAGTGGCTAGCTTGATCACCAGACTTGAATCCTATCGAGTATGGTTAAGATAGATGCTTTAGGAAGATGTGTAGCTGCTCTCAATCCTCCTCCTCAGACACTTGCTATTCTTGCAGCTGATTTGTGTAACACCATAATTGTCAGGTTAATACTTTATTTATTTTATACATTTTTATTTGCATTATAATGTGCGCTAGTTTCATTAAATTCTAGGGGTAACTTTTTGAGTTTTGGTCTTTTTCCTTAATTTATGATAACTAGTGTATGTGTATGTTACTCTTGATTTCGGAATTTTTTTATCTTGTTATTAAATCGTTAATGTAATCATCGGAAAAAATTTTAATCATTGCACGCAGCTGAGCTGAATATTCCTTTTTTTAATGTATATATTTAGTGTTATGTGAGAAAAAATTCTATGAAACGAATGTCAATATTAAATTAATAGTATACATTCGTAAATGCGAAAAAAATTATGCTTATTAGTTAAAATTGTATTTTAACTAAATAATATTATTATAAACAAAGAAATTCGTCCAATATACTTACGTTGATGAACGAAAACCGCTAAACACGTAAAACACTATTCATATGTTCTTTACGTCAATGTTTATTAGTGATTAAACGTTGAAGACCAGCATGGCACGAAATATATAATAGATATACTCTGTTGCCACTTAAAAAAAGATCATTTCGGTTTATTTAAGTTGCCCGAGATATGGTTTTACATAGTTCAGATTTTTTTTAAATTTCATTAAAAATTATACTAATATGCTTCTATAGCTTCCAACTCTAATGGATTTAGCAGTAGACTACTGGATTTTGCCTGTTTCTCCTGGCCTACTGGTATAATAAAAAATCTCCTGGTATTGAAAATTCCCTAAAATTGAGTAAGTTTTCAACAACAAAAAATCACCCTTAAATAAAATTTTTCACAATTTATTGCTTGCTTGAATATTTAAATAAGTATTATTCATGCATAATGAAGCATACATCATTTACAGAGATTAGTTTAAGGCTTTTCTTTCTTTTTCTTCGTTCTAAAATTCTCAGTTTATTTTTATTCAGAACACCCTTTTTAAGTTATAAAATCTTTTAATTACCAATAATGAATTACTTGTCTACTACTATTTAAAATTATGAGTTAACATAAAGAAAAAAAAACATTTAAAATTCATTTAATGTCTATCATAAATGGAAAAATATTGCAGACCATTTGTATTGCAGATAACAGTAAAAATTCCCTATATGTAAAATATTTAGCATATTATGCAACAGTTATCATGAAATTTATATTATTTCGTATCTACTGAATTTTCTCCTATCCACGTTTGCAGCTATGGCGTCAATGCTATTTCTGTGTTAAGAAGAAAATATGTCGTGCAGACCGCCAATTTGGGTTACCATTACTGATATATAATTCACAATTATTGAAAAATTATTTTTTTTTTTCAAATTTAACGGAATTTTTTCTTTTTTTCTGGTGACATATTTCTATTAAAAAAGAGAAAATCCAATTTTCAAAAGCGAAACAACCGTGAAGTCAACCTTTTTTTTTTATTATCCGTATTTGCAGCATTATGAATTTTTGTTTCAACACTTTTGTTGTTGGAAAAAATCGTCTGCGGGGGAATACTTTTTATTCTTATTTCTGTCTTTTTTAAAACTAATAAAAGGCATGTTTAATTATTTATCAAATGTTAACTGATCGAAATCATTAAAAACTTTTATTCGTTTGTTATTAATGCCTTGATTTGTTTTTAGCTTTTTATTGTTTAAAAATATTATTCCAAATGTTATTTTGTTTGAATACTCCAAAGATTTATTCTTTTCAACTCCTTTCGGTAAACTGGAAAGATTTTAGCTAAAACTATCAACTAAATATTTGTTCTCAATTGAGAAAAGATAATAAACAATAATAAGTGCTACATGCTATTGGATTATATTCTCATCTCGATAAACATACTTCATTATTATATCTATTTATTTTAACACTTTGTTGACCGGCAATTTTACACAGAAATTATGTCATGTCACCGGCTATAATTTTTCAGGGTTGCCACTCCACAGGGAGAACATTGAAAATCTGGAAAATACAGGGAATTTAAAAATCACCTAAAATAACAGGGAAAATGCAGAGAATTTTGATTTTTTTTTCTTTACAAACTGGGAAAATACAGAGAATTTTGTTTCTTATTTTTGTCTTTTAAAAAATTATGACCACTCAAAGTGTAATCTATACGATATTTAACCATGATATCTTAACTATACTGAACTAGTATTTCATTTACTATAGCATTATTTAAGTATGTTCAGCTGTTTTTCCTGCAATTAAAACTAATATAAATAGCTAGCCCAATATATCTCACACAAGAGCACAGGGAATTTTTGGAGTGGCAACGTTGATTTTGATACGCGATGCATTAAACTTCTGCAATATTCTATCACCCTGCATTTCATAAATTGAAATTGAAATGCAAGCGCAATGGCGAGTTAACTCGTCATCGGTCAACAACGTTTGGTCATGAAAAGACGAGTTAACTCGTTATCAGTCAAAAATGTGTTAATATTGTAAATATTTGAATGATTACTTTTAATTAGCATAATTTGATTATAATGGAGAAATTTTTGAAATTTATACTTATAATTTTACTTATATTTCTTTTAAAATATTATTTGATATAAATATGATTTCCAACTTTATATTACGATATCCGTTTTGTTCACAGTTAAATAACGAAGATCTAAATTTCAAGTGTATTTTTCGAAATAATTTGAAAATAATACTAATCAAATAAACTTTAAATATATTACAATCCTGTTATTTCATAATTAATTAAATGTAGATTAAGTAATGATTGAACGTACGCAAACTGGCCTGTCAAAAATGTATGCAAATGAGTTAATCTATCATCTGTAATAGTTCCCCAGTTCATGAATAATCATTACAGAATTTTCCTGTTTTAAAATGTTTCTAATATGCGAGTTTGCGTGTAAGATATAAATATCTTTTCGTGGAATGGTTTTGCACAATTCTTATATTTTATACAAATGTATTTTTTTTAAAAATTTATTTTTTCATCTCCTATTTTGTATCATTAGAATTAATTTGAAAGAAAACATTTAATTCCAATCTTACATTAATAAATAGAAATATATAATTCGAAATTATCATTTTCCAAGTCATAATGTTAGAACATTTTTAGGTTTCGGTGAAACTTTTAATAGAGTATGTTATAAGTCAGAATTCAGCCTCCATGAAAGATTGGTGTCGGAGTTAAACATTAAGCTACTGACTTAACAGCTCTGACAATAACTCATAGTTGCCAATTTTTGCACTTTCGTAGAAAATATTTTTTTGCGAAATTGGCGTAACTAAATTTCGTTAATACGGTAGAACTTTCTTCATTTTTGCCCTTTTTATCACCTTATTTATGTTTGAGTTATTTATATCGTTTGCGGGTCCTTAAAATTTTTTCATATCACATTTGTTTATCCAAAAAATAATGAATTATTCTATCAGTGGGAAACATTTCATTGTAACATGCCAAAACGAGCTTTGTTCTTTTGTTTTCTTTTTGAATTAAAGTTAAAAAAGTAACTTATTTGTACATAATTTTTAAACACGTTTTTTTATTATTTAATTAGTGAATAATTCAAAATTTTAAAAAAAATTGGTAGATTACGAATTAGTAAGAATTTAATTGTAAGAAATATAATTACTCCCTCTTTTATAAGTTTAACCCAATCTAGGTTCAGGTATAAACGGAGTCCTGTAAAATTAAAAAGTAGTAGCACTATAGTGTACCTAATATTTTTTTGAAGAATCAGTAACTAGGTTAGCAATGCAGATGGTTGGAGTGATATTTTGAATTTAAAACATATTGTCTAAAAAAAAAAAAAAAATTCGAGTAAAATCTACGCGACCTTATTTTTGAATATTTCCTAAAATACGGATTTTTTTTAATTCCACAAAAATTTTATTAAGGACTAAAACAAATGGCGCAAAATGCAAAGTATGGTAATTTGACGACCTAATCTCAAATTTCGTTTTCATAACTTTCCGAAAATTATTTCTTTTTTTAAATTAGCGTTTAAACACTTTTGCATCAACCAAAATGGAATGAAAAACTAAATTTGGTTTTAAAAAAATCTAAAAATTCTAAATATTTGAAAAAAGTACTAACTTACAATTCAGAAATTGTTTGGTCATTAGCAAGGTAATTAATAGGAATAATTTATTTTATCAAAATTTCTCATCTTATCACAAAATTTGCCTTTAGGCCGATGGCTTATGACTTTCTGTGCAAATACTACTTTAATTTAACAAATCTTTCAAAAGAACAGATAATGTGGCTCTTAAAAGTAGCATTTGAGTAGCAAAACTTTTAACCGTTATATTGGTCAAAATTTCGCCCACTCCCCTTTTTAGAGGTGATATATCCGAAGTTGTTGAAAATATTGTAGGTTTCTTCAAGCAAAATGTGCTTTTGCAACAAAATAAGCATATACCGTCACGGTTACATTTAGTTGTTGTACTAAATATTTAAAAAATATGCCATTTTTACAAAGTGAAAAATCCGAACAATAGCTCAAAAGTTATAAGAGTTATCTTTTACCGAAGACAGCTGGGGCCTCGTCAAAGCAAAGGTGGGAAAGCGAATGAGGCAATAGAGTTTTATAAAATTCAAAGACCACTGAGATTTTGAAACTTTATTAAAAATAGTTTAAATGTATCTGAAGGATGAAATGTAAATATCTAAATACAAGAGGTTTCTCAAAAAATAATTTAGGCACTGAGTAACTTCTATGAATAGTAATGAAGCTTTGAAAGAATAATTTCATCACAGTCCTACTTTCTCTCCTTCTGGCTTTTTATTTCTGGTTTTTCTCTTGTAAAGTAACCTCGAAACAAGAATCACAGTCTGAAAATAGAACAATAACATAAATGCAATTTTTAAAAGGATATATTTATGGAAAAAAATCCAAGAATTTTTTGTTTATACCATTTGAAAGTGTTGCAAATCTTTCGTGGGACATTTTAAAAATTTTATAAATAATTTTATAAATTTATTTTTAATGTACCTGAAAATAGTGAACTAATATTTATATTATTAAAAAAAAAATTTCATCAGCCACTTTATTTTGTATTGCTTTTTAAAAATTTATTTCTACAGTTTACTCGTTGTATAATAATAAGAGGTGTGATGGCACACTAGTTAAGACACTAAGCTATATGTTTATGGTACCAAAGTTCTATCCCAGGTGATGGCCTCAAATCGTTGGGTATCACCACATGACGTTGGTATTTAAATTGTTAAAGCTTAACCTCAAAGACTTCTCCCCTGGGGAGCAATTTTAGTTACATAATAAAGGATCTTTTTTGGAATTATGTTTTATTCATTTTTCTTGTAGAGGAAAAATGCCCAAAATATGCTAATTTTTCCCCTGCTAGATCGGTCTTATATTTCAGGTGAATAGCTTTGACAGTGTACCTGTTTATTTAATTGTAACTTACAACTGTGTTCCATAATTTAGAAGACCTTAATGTAAGTATAATTTAGTGAATTACTAAATTATGGCTTCACTCAAAATTTCTTTAATTTTAAAATAAATTAAATACTCATGATATATATATATATATATATATATACAGTGGTGGCCAAAAGTGTGGACACTTTTTGAAAGTTTCATGTTTTTCAACTTTGTGTGCTTGTAGAATATATTAATTTTCACTTTAATACAAAGGTTTAGATATCAAATTGAAGGTAATTTGATGTAGAATTTAATAATAAAGGCAGTATTACAGTATCTATATTACAAAACAAATTATGCAACTATTAGTAAGATCTATCTTAGATTTGCATTTTTTTAAAGTGATACTTACACAATCAATACTTAGTAGGATAACCCTTATTTTTTAAGACAGCTTCACAGCGTCTTTTCATCGAGTGAACGAGTGTTTGGAGTTCATCTTTCGTAATCACATGGTGCCAAGAATCAATTATAGCTTCACTTAGTTGTCTTTTATTGGATGGACGTTTTTTTCGTACAAGAATTTTCAAACGTCGCCACAAATTTTCAATTGGATTGAGATCAGGGCTGTTTCCTGGCCATGGTAATATATCTATGCCTTTATTTTGAAAGCATGCTTTGCATACTTTTGCTGTGTGGCATGGAGCTGAATCCTGCTGAAAAATAAATGGTTCGTTGTTGGGGAAGAGATCCCTGATGGAAGGTATCAATTTTGGTTTCAGGACAGTTTCGATGTATTTTTTGGCATTCAGGATGCCAAATCAGGCCGAAAAAAATGCACAAGTGCTACTACCGATAGAAAAATTAAATGGCTATGCCTTCAAGATAGAAAAATGTCATCAGATGCCATTAGATGTGAAATGAATGCAGCTGGTATTGCAGTAAGTTCAAGAACAATAAGAAGAAGGTTATCAGGATTTGGACTACAAGCTAGAATTCCAAGGAAAAAACCATATTTAAATCAAAAGCAACGCGAAAAACGAGTTAAGTCGGCAAAAGAACACATTAAATGGTCAGAAAATCAATGGAAGCAAGTAATCTGGAGTGATGAGAGTAAAATATCGCTCTTTGGAAGTGATGGTAGAAAATACGTGAGACGTAGAGTAGGTGAAGCGCTTCATCCTGATTGCATTGAAGCAACTACAAAAAATCCAACAAATGTCATGATTTGGGCATGTATGTCTGCAGATGGTGTGGGCCGAATTCAAGTGATTGATGGCATCCTGAATGCCAAAAAATACATCGAAACTGCCCTGAAACCAAAATTGATACCTTCCATCAGGGATCTCTTCTCCAACAACGCACCATTTATTTTTCAGCAGGATTCAGCTCCATGCCACACAGCAAAATTATGCAAAGCATGATTTCAAAATAAAGGCATAGATATATTACCATGGCCAGGAAGCAGCCCTGATCTCAATCCAATTGAAAATTTGTGGCGACGTTTGAAAATTCCTGTACGAAAAAAACGTCCATCCAATAAAAGACAACTTATTGAAGCTATAATCGATTCTTGGCACCATGTGGTTACGAAAGATAAACTCCAAACACTCGTTCACTCGATGAAAAGACGCTGTGAAGCTGTCTTAAAAAATAAGGGTTACCCTACTAAGTATTTATTGTGTAAGTATCACTTTAAAAAAATGCAAATCTAAGATAGATCTTACTATTAGTTGCATAACTTTTTTTGTAATACAGATATTGTAATACTGTATTTATTATTAAATTCTACATTAAATTACCTTCAATTTGATATATAAACGTTTGTATTTAAGTGAAAATTAATATATTCTACAAGCACACAAAGTTGAAGAACATGAAACTTTCAAAAAGTGTCCACACTTTTGGCCACCACTGTATATGTAATTTGTGCTAATATGGTTCATAATTGCCGGAATTCCCAACGTTAAATCTCTTCTTCAAATAATATTATCACGTTATAATTAAAATGCTACTACACAAAGTTAAAATACAAAATTTCCATTTTGATGTATTATTTTTCTTATTATTATAAACAGTTAGGATATAATTTTCTTCATTAAGCATTTTCCAGTATTTTTATTGTTTCAGATGAAGTAAGATTCAATAAAAATATACTTTCAAACACATAAAATTTTCATAAAAACTAACGAGTCAATTTGTAACTTCTCAACCCTCATTTATACAGAGAATCACGATACATTTCCTTACAAATCAGGAATTTTGATGCCTGAAAACCATTAGAAAGCTTTAGCTTGCATTCAGAATTCGTATGTATTCTTTATGGTATTTTAAATTATTAATTATTTGAAATTGTTTATTTTTTCTTTTAAGAAAGAGCTCTTTTTTCATTCAGCGTATTCCATTTCCATTTATTAGTTAAACATACACTTACTGCTTCTAAAATTTATAGTTTAATTGAATTTATTATAAAAACAAAGTTACGAGTTAGGCTGTAATTTTCGAACAAGAATTTCTTTTTTTTAACACTCTTATTATTATTTTTTTTTTCAAAAAATTTTATTAATTACTAAATAGAAGTTCCTGGTTTTCTGAGCAAAACTTAGCGATTCATACATTTCCATTTTCTTCTTCTTTATTTGCTTTTCAAATAGTTGGTTATTTGCATGTTGCAAAATTGAAAAAAAATTTGTTTTAAATAATTGCTTATTCATTAAAAGTTTCAAATTTATCGATGCATAATTTCAGAATTGAAGCCGATCCATTGTTCCAATAGCTTTCATAAACTTTCGATAGCAAACTTTCATTGAAATTATTTAAACGTTAATTAACTATAATAAATTCATGCAAATGTTTCTACATTTTAAAGTTTTGTTTTGAAATATTATTTCATTCAAAATTAAATGCATGCAACAGTTTAACTTTTCTCATGGTCCACTCATTAATTGCATGGTTCAAGAACTTATATCATGAGAATTTATTTGATGAAAGGCAATTATATAACTTTCTTTAAAAAAGGCTGTTCTATGTTATTTGTATATATATATATATATATATATATATATATATATGTATATATATATATGTATATATATATATGTATATATATATGTATATATATNTATATATACAGGCAAATTAGAAACATTAACGAGTTAAATTCCAGGTATTAATATTAATCCCCATTATACTACTTCCTTTGAACTCTTATTTCCTCAAGCAATCCACTAGGTTTTAATGTTTTTAATCTTTTTTCCTCGTTAATTATTTGTCAGGCTTTAATAATATTTTTCTGTTTACTTAACTTAAATATTATTTCCTGACCCCTAAAATACATTTTTGATAAGGATTCTAAAAATATGCAGATTGAAGGCGGAGATTACGGAAGTCTTAGACTGGAACTTAACGTATTGTATGGACAGAAAAATGGTTTTTCAACACTTTCCTAATTTTCATTAAGTCCATTTAATATTCCATATAATAAAATAAAAACATACCACTGCAGATTGTCCGATGACAACTACAAAAGTTGCATATTCATAACCGACGCTATCAATTAAAAAGCCACCAATTGAAGGTCCAAAAAAGGCACTGGAAGAAAAAAACAGATGCATTTTTTTATTTATTATAACTTTCAAACAAAATAATAAAATATTGATAAATAACTTCATAACTAAATTTTTCAAACTTTATTTGACTGACAATTATGAGTTTAAGTACTGATATTAGTGGTTTTTTAATTTTTGTCGATAGTGATACCTACTGACGATCGCCGTAGAGAGCCTTACCCGCGTAGAGATAAAACTGATAGCAAAATCATTTCATTTCTAGCTTGTTTTCGGGAAAGCTAAAATATCCGTGACTTACATAACTTATTAATCAATGCATGATATGTATAACTATAATGTGTCTTGGTATAATAACTGTACCCATAGAAACATGCTTTACTACCTATTTTTTCTCATGTCCGGATAAGGCTTCCAGCGGGAATTTTATTATGTGACGGTAAATCGAAATTGGTACCTTGAACCCGATGATAAAAAAATCTACTGTTTTTGAAAGATGGGAAAACCAAGAGAGTATTGGGTAATATAAAGAAATGGGAATTTTAATAATAAACAAACTCGCCTGTTTGCAAATTCCAATTAAGATATTTAAAAATATAACAGCTGTGATATAAGTAATTAGCTTATAAACTGTTTAATATGCTTAAGAGACCTCTACCCTCGCCATCTTGGGTTTTAGGTAAAAACTTTAATTTGTGTTTTCTTGATATTTTTTGTACCTAACAAACGTTTGATTATATAGTTTTAATAGACAGTATATTACCTTTTAAAAAAGGTAGAAATTAAGAAAGCCGCTTTATAAGATTAGGAGAAATAGATCTTGACAATTTTTTGAATTTCTCTGAATTTTTCCTCAACACTTTAAAGCAATAAAATGATGCATTTTGAGTAATTTAAAACTGCACGCTTTTAGAATTTTTATCATCTAATTTTATTACAGTTTAAACTGAGGAAAACCAATTTGGATGACACTAATAATTATTTTACCGCTAATTGCATAGAAGCAAAGATACTTATCAAAAATTTAAAAACTAGCAATTGTATACTATTTAACTACCCACCTAAAACAGTTGGTTGCAGAATTGTATTAGCATAATTTTGTCACAAAAAATTTATAATGAATCTAAATAGCCGCAATTGTTATGTTTCAAATTGTGATTGGGAGCAGCTTTGAGTTTTAATATATTGGAAGATACTACCAAATAAATTAAATATCCATCATCAGTTTATTTGTGAAAATTAAATGATAAAGATTAAAAGTATATTTAGAATTTTCTCTCCCTTTCGATAGTTGAGCTCGGTCAGGCGGGAGAGGGAGGGTCTCTTAATATACGTAATTTACTAAAATAAATATGCTATATTTAATTAAAAAATTACTTTTTAAATTCAATAATTTTTATTAGCATAAATTTTTAATAAAAATATCAGCTAATGGGAGATTTTAATATTGAGAGAAAAAGATAAGTTACAGTGTCACATTTGTACAAATTTTTATCACACGATAATTAAATGAATAAATAACCTGGTCATAAAGCATGTTAAAAAATAAGAAGTAAAGAAAACATAGTATCAGAATATAATCTTTTGCTAGTATTTTAGAAGCTGCTTTATTTTTCGATATATAGTAGCACCTCTGTCGGGTCACAAAGTCCTCCAAGTTTCCATAACAAATCAATAACTCTGGGGGTACTGAATCGGAGATTGATTATTTGCTGGTTCAAGTCAAAATTGCGATCTGTGGATGAATGGATACGCCCTCTAAACCGGGCTATGACTTATGTATGTGGATAAAGACGTATATTTGGCCATATATGGTTCTACTAAAAAAGAAAAAAACCCACCCTCTGCCTTAAATTAGCTTGGTTTCACCAAGCAGGCTTGCTGATATTAGCAAGTGGCATTAGAAATGGGCCGGGATAGCCTGGTCGGTAAGGCACTGAGCCCATGTCCAAGAGTTCGTGGGTTAGATCTCAGGCCGGCCGAGAACTCCCCGTGTAGTAAAATGGTGACTGGTGCACGTTAAATCTGTTGAGTCACAAAGTTCTCCATGTTCTCATAACAAATCAATACCTCTGGGGGTTGAACATTAGTAGTCATAAACCCAAAATTGGGCCGACTGTTCAACGACGGATATAAAAAAAAATAATAAAACTGGCATTAGAAGCAGCAACATACTTTATAGAGATATTAGTTTCAAGTTAATGCTGTCTCTTCAAGCTTTCTCCATTTGACTCGATCTAATGCAGTAAGATTGCATTGTCGCAAGTTAGATAGATATCAATTTTTGTGTGAAGCTCAGCAAGTATACTTTTTTTCATCATGAAGACTTCCTTTGATGATGATTCTACATCATAATGCTAAGCCTACAGGTAGCACAAGGCAATTGCTAAAGGCTCTGAAGTGGCAAGGGAGGAGTGTTACCGCTGGAGGGTTATCAACAACCACCACTGACTAAAATGTGATGCGAGCTCTGCATTCTGAACTCAGGCACAAACAAAAACATTTACTTTTGAAGTCCCGATCAGACATCGGATAATTGAAAACTTCATCATGACATCGAACTTTGCACGCTTCGCCATCTTCATGACCCTGTTCCTGTCCGGTGCAAAGATTCCAATGGTTCCACAACTCGTTTGAGTCCTGGCTTGGATCTCTCAGACTTCTTGCAACAACACTTAAACTCTCAAGACAATTGACGAATTCTAGAAGTTAGCCCGGAGACTTCATAGAACATCCCAGAAAAATGCTCTTGTGACACCTTCGATGCCTGGAAATCTCGATGGAAGTGATTAATGAATGCGAAGGAACATATTTTAAGACTTTTTAATGTATTATACCAGTTAGATCATTGTATGTTTTAAAACGAAATTACTTTACGAACAAACCATGTACACTGCTTGTACAATATCTAATTCAAAAAGCAAAGTTCTTAAATTCATCTAAGTTACTTACCCAAAGCAGGAAACGGAGAATAGAATTCCAGAAACTAAACCATATGTTCCAACATTATCTGGAAAGCCCCGCTCACTAAAATTTTTAAAAAAAATTTAGTTTATGTAAAATCATGTTTTAATCACACAAAAAAAGAATAAAATATTGCTTATAATTAGAAGTTGTGATAAATGTATACTTCATGTTTCAGAAGATGTGCCGTAATGTGTGCCTTCCTCAGTAGTAATATTGGTCTTGAATGTGTAACATTCATGGAAAAACAATGCATGCAAAATGGTATTGAATGATTTTTATTTATTTCTCTTGTACAGTGCACAAAATGAAAAACAGACCACCCTTAATAACTTTTGCTCAAGTGAATTCCTTAAGTTCAAACACATCAGTTTTTTATTTTAATTTATTACATTTACCTAATTACCCTCGTTTATGAATACCATTTTCGATCGAGTGTGCGAATTTTCAATGCCAAATCGATAAAAAATCAATCAGTTATTGTGCAAAATACACGGAGATAGCATTTTGGACTTCTTTAATTTTAAAGTTTTTGCCACGTAATAAATGTTGCTATGATAGGAATAAATGGAAATCCGATGGTGTAATATCGCGTAAGTATGGTATATAGGGCAAGACATCCATTCTGAATCTTTCATAACTATTGTCTTCTTGATTGGTACGAACTGGAAGGATAAAAATAAAACAAATTGAAATTAAGGAAATAACCTTAGCATTTGCAAAACGTCTTATATACAGTGCCTAATAATAACAATAATTATAAATAAATAAAAACGGACTACCCTGAATAACTTTTGATCATCTAATGACAATATCCTCTCGTTCTAACATTCAATTTTAAAAGTTCAAGGGGGTGACCTGAAATGTGCTTATTAATTAGTGCAGACAATATTTGAAACTACGAAACCAAACCCAAATACACACTTTCTCGGAATAAACATACATTTTTTTCGACGGATTCGGATCCCTAAGATAAAGGGGGGAAACTGCGATCTAGGAAATATGGTGCCAATAGTTTGGTCAGGAGTGCGGTCCAAAGTTTGTACCCCTTAATGTTAAATCTACTTCTTATGTATTTCACCATATCTCGAGAAATTTTTAAATGAATTAAAAAGTTTTTACTCCTAATCATAAAATTCGTTTACCCAAACATGCAAGATATATGTTTAAGCATATATTTATAATTTTTCATTATTTTACATAATAATAGTAGGAAAACTTTTGAATTTATGGTATACAAATTTTACATAATTTTAAAGAATGCAATTTTAAAAGGCAAAATACGAAGTTCGAACAAAATCGGTTGAGTAGTTTCTGAAAAATCGAATTTTATAAAGTCGTATTTTTAAAATTCTATTTTTCAGGAACTATTCGACCAAATATTATATTTTTCCAAGTAAAAGTACATTCTTTAAAATGATGTAAAAAATTATGTAAATTACAATTCAAAAAATTTTCGACTATTATTAAATAAAATGAAAAAAAAATCATAAATATTTAATAAAAGTTATTTTTTTCATGAAATTTTCTATGGATGAATGAATTTTATAATAGCGTGCAAAATCTTTCAATTGCTTCCGAGCTTCGGATTGCTCTCCTGACCAAACTATTGGGACCATATTTTACAGATTGCTGCTACTCCTCATATTTTGGGGGTCGAAAATCCGAATCCACCGAAAAAAAGGTATGTTTATTCAGAGAGTGTGCGTTTTTGTGTCTGATTTTATAATTTAAAATATCGTCTGCACTAATTAATTATCATATTCGAGGTAACCCTTTAGAACCATTTAGATTGAGTCCTAGAACGTGAAGATCCAATCAAAAGTTATTTAGAGTGGTCTGTTTCTTTTTTTTATTTATTTTATTTTTTTTTTTATTTTACGCAGTTTTCACTGAGATAGTTTGAAACCTCAATTATTGGTTCCGGATATAGCGTTAGCAAAAACTGTCATTTTTTAACTCATTTTCCAATGGATTTTTTATTCACTTTGTCTACCTGTAATACCCTGTTATTTTAGCCAAGTTTTTTTTTCGAAACTAGTTTGATATTTAAAAGCAAACTTCTTTCTGTTATTAATATAAATTGAGACTTACACAGTATGTTTCATTCCATGAGTAAAGGAACACACAATTTCACCAGCCATTCCAATACCTATTAAGACTTGGGATACTATCACAAGTGATAATTGTCTGAAATCGAAAATGAGAAATATTTTAGCAAAGTGAATTTTTTATTTCAACATTTAGTCGGTAGTTCGTTTACATGCATCAAAACTAGTTCGAGCCAGTTTTAGAAACTTTTGATTAATAACAAATATAGACATTTGAATTTCGGTAAATTTTTTGTTCACGCAGAGAAAGAATTTCGGATAAAATTACCTTACTTGTATGGTTATGTCATTTCCAGTAAAAAAAAAGTAGTTCTGGTTTTAAAAGTCAAAATATACGGTATTTGAACCATTCATTTGGTAATTTTTAAGTTAATATGGTATTGGTTTACTGAAAATTCTGGTATTACTCATAATACCTTTTTTTATTATTAAAATCGCATTAGGAAAGTAAAAAATAGACGTAGAACTTAAGCAACACAGTTTTAAAAAAGATAGTTTTAAAATTAATCACATCATTCAAGAAAAGCATAAGAAAAGTAAGTAACAGAAGCAAATTTTACTGGCCAGATTATATGTGAAATTCATTTTGAATTTTTTTTATTAATGCGAGTACAATGGAAAATATTATAAATTTACAATGAAAGTAACTTATAATGGATCGGATATTAAAAAAAAATACACACACACACATATACACACACACACACACACACACACACACAGAGAGAGANTATATATTCAATTATATATACTCCTCCTAATTAAGTTCATAAGCATGAAATCAGGAAAGTGTGAAATAGGAGGGGAGCATTTTCGATAGTGATAAACAGGAGTGGTGTCGTGACTTTATTTTATGCAATGCGTCAATAACCAGTTAAATATGTAATTTTTGAGCTTGATAAATGAAGTTTTCTGAAAACAAATTTATTAAAAAAAAAGGAAAAAATACGCGGGTATATGAACTATAAAACAGAAAGGTGATAAACTTCATATGCAAGTTATCTAAAAGTTAAAAATTTGGGTCCAGCAAATAAATAAAATTTAAACTATTCTAAAACTGAACTATCAATCATTTCATAGTATTTAATAGTAAAATGAACAGTGATAAAAAGAAAAAAAAATCATGCATGACTTTCTTACACTCCTCACTATAGATTCAGAATTAGTAAACTTTAATATCGGATACTATTTTACTATCTGAGCGGAAATATTTCTTAAACGATATAATTAATTCATGTTAATGTAGAAAGAAAAATTAAACTTACGTATGGATATTGAAAAAAGGTAAAGGACCAATGATGATGAAAGCAACAATAAATGCCAAAGCTCCAAAAATTGTTAGGCACTGGGCATTAGGCTAAAAGAAAATTTTATTTTTATAGTGGTTAATTTTTTTAATTGCATAGTGGAATATTTTCCTCTTTAAGTCAAAATAATAATGCATTTTTTCCATGATGATTAAAACATGAAAAAATTTGATTAAATCACTTAAAAATGTGATTACACAAAATTTCTGAAATTTAAAAAAAAAATAAAAGTTGTTAAAAAACCTTCAGCTGACCATGCTTTCCATCTCTGATAGACGCATTTCTTTTTGGACTCATAAATTCTATAAGTTTAAAATTTCAACATATTTTTTACATTCTATAAATTAAAGAAGCTAATTTTTTGGTCATTCTCAAAATCTCTTTAATAGGGTTCGAGTATTCCTGTTACAATAAAACAGGTAAACATTTCAAAAAATAATAATATTTACGATTAAATTTGCACTGTAATAAAATGAACAAGAAAGTATTTAAAATAAGATCCTCTTAAATGATTTTTACGTTTAATTTACTTCTGTAACAGTTTAATGAACAACTGGAAATGAAAAAAATGGCTAACAGATCTGTAAATATTACATTAAATTTACGTGTTACGTTTTTTATTAAAGATTACCTTAGAGAAAATATTTTAAACTTTAAACTATATTTCTCTTATTAGGTAGGTCGGAACTTTATTTACGTCGCACAAGAGCAGCATAATGGGCTATTGGCGACGGTCTGGGAAACATCCGTGAGGATGATCTGAAGACATGTCATAGCAATATTGATCCTCTGCAGAAGGGATGGCACCTCTCCTTTGGTAGCCCGACGAACTGCTCGCAAAATTAATCGAGTTTAACCAGGACCGATACCGCCCCCCCCCTATGGTCCCTACGCAGACTGATCAAAGTGATTATCCACCCGCTTACTGACCGCAAGCAGTGATACTTGACTTCGGTGGTCTACTGGGAAGCGTGTCTTTACGATCAGTCCACTGCGGAACATTTCTCTAATTAAGAGAATATATATATATAAGCAAAAAAATATGTTATAAAAATTTACCTATTGCCATAAAAAAACAATAATGAGATTGTTTGAAAACTTAAATACATTGATATAGACCTTTTATTCACTTAAATAAATATCAATTTGGAATAGTGTATGAAAATATTTCTCCGGCTTTATGCGAAATCAAAATTTAAAATGTTGGAAATCACATTTTTGAATTTATTGAAAGTAAACAATTTCAAGTTATACAATTTTGGAAATCACGTTTTTAAATTTATTGAAAAATATTCCATTTTATATATTAAAATAAATCTATACCCATACCTGTAAAATAACTCTTTGATTGCCTTTTTAAGAGGGAAGTTAATATCACAGTTCACCGATTAAATAAGTTCTTTATATATCTTGACATTCCATTTTTATTGCATTAAAAACAAACATTTAATAAACACATTTAATAAACACATTTAATAAATTGCAGTATACTTATTGAATACACTATCACAATATTACTGCGATGTAGTGCAAGAAAAACTTATTTCAAGTTTAAAAGGCGAAAAACTAAGTTACTAATTTTTTTTTTATTCAATGCATAATCCCATTATAAAGTACTTCAATAGGTACATTTCTTAGCAATAATTTTCGTCCCGCAGTGGACTGATCATTAAAACACGGTTCCCTACAGATCACGGGTGGGTGACCACTTGGATCAGTCTGCGTAAGGACCGAGGGGGTGCGGTATTGGTCCTCGTTAAATTGTTCTACAGTAAAGTGCTCGACTTCGCGTGCAGGTCGTCGAGTACGGTGCCATTCTCCTCTGTAGAGGATCAAAATTGTGATGGCATGTCTTCGGATCATCCACGGGGATGCTTCCCAGACCTAAGCCAATAGCCCATTGCTCAGCTCTAGTGCGACGTAAAGGAATTACAATTAGTAGTAATTTTCTGTATATTTCTGAAAAATAACACATGGGTTGTTTTTTCGAGCATTTCTACAAAAGTAAATTGTCTTTTGATAAATCTTGACATCGCTTATTATTGCAATGAATTTGCAGAATTGTAAATAAGTTCGATTAAACCCCTACACCCAACAGTGGCCAAGCATCTCACCCTGTTTTTCAGAAATCTATTTTATAAGAGCCGTGATAGGAACGCCACGTAGTTTTGACCCCAGTTAGATGGCGTAGACAGTGTCTGATATGGTATCCCTGTTTCTAAACTTCCATATCACAGCCAACGAGAAAGCTATCAGCCATGTCAGATTAGCGTGCAGCTTGTGCACACGCCGGTTGTTTAGTGGCTGTCAGGATCGAACTCACTGCCTCAATTCTCCACCTTTACCGACTGCGCCGCCGAAGCTCTCAATTCGATTAAACATAAATAAAATAAATTTTATATTTCAGTTAGAACACTGAAAATTTAATTAATATTTTTAATAAGAACATTTCTAATTTGTCAAGGAAAACTTTACTTACCACTCTTTCAGCAAATAAACCCCAAATAGGAGCGATAACTGCATCAACTACTCCTTCGATTAGAAATATGCATCCCACTATAGTTGGACTGAAGTTAAACTGTTAATAAAAGTTTTCGCCAAATTATAACAAAATAAATGACATACTTATTCAGTGCTCAAATAGGCTGATTAAAAAATCCAGCTCTTTTTAAATGTCGCCAGTATTTTGCAATGCTCTAGACTAGTTAGAAAAGTCTTCAGTGCTTTCCAATCTACATGTTATTTTCAGGCTTTTCATAATCAGCCAATATCCATTTAAGCTAGTTAAGAATTGCGCAAAAACTACTCTGAGTGATTTTGCTAAGATTTACTGTACTAAACATTTAATAAAGTTATTTAGAAGTCTTCAATATTGTTTAGAATTATTACAAATTGTCTAATATAAACTAGGCCAATTTAGTAACGAATGATATTTTTTCTAACTAGCCTAAATGTATGTAGGCACACATACATAAAGCTTAAAAAGTGACAAGCTGATTAAAAAATTCTAGTATGATGTAATTATAGGCATTACATGTTTCCTACCTTTTAAACTTCCATTATTCTATAAATTTATAATAATTTTTAATTATCCCTAATCCTGTTCTAATTAAATGAACCAACTAATTAATTTGTGCCCATTTCATGAAAGCGAATATGAATATTTCTATGACTTTCTTTCAATAATAAATGTAACGTCTAACTTTTTCAATATAACACATTGGTATATAAGTGTATAACTAATTATAATTCAACGTCTCTACAAAACGATTATAAAGATCTTTTCCTTAATAAGTGTATATAATTATTCAACGTCGTGACAAAACGAATATCAAAATCTATTTTTTGATTTTACTTTAAGAAAAAACATTTTGTGCCTTCATCGTATGCAAAGTAACTTACATAGATTTAAAAATGTAGACGTTACATTTATTGTTAAAAGAAAAAATTTATATTCGCTTCTTATGAAATGGGATAAAAATCAATTAATATATCAAATAAAGGAAATTTAAAAGCTTGGAAATATGCAGTGCCTATAATGGCGTCACCTGACGACTGTTTGCCAAGAGCTGGATATTCAATTAGGGTAAGACATATTCAATTTCAATACTCACTTGTCGAATATGAGGCTCTAGAGTTGCTTCGTTAAATCCTAACATGGCAAAGCATAACATAATTACTAGGATATCTATTTGGAAATCGATATCTTTTATTAAATCTCTGGCTCTAATTGATTGTGGAGGAACATCATCTGAAAAGAAATTCAGAATTTAGTTTTTGAATGGTCTCTTTTTAAGATTTGCTGAAAATAAATTAATTAAATTTCCACTTCGTTAACCTAGCAATCAAAACTACTGAATTTGCATGAAAACATACAGGCATTTTTCGTTTCGAAGTTTGACCATTTTTTGTTAGTAAAAAGTACGTTGTTCAAATATTTTTTTTACTTATTTTACATGCAATATAATTTTTTTCATAATTTAATTATACAACGTGGGAAAAAAGTTCTTGGGTTTCGCAGTTAGATTCCTTTATTTTCTGAGTAATCTTTATATGTAAAAGAAAAGTTACTGCCCCAGCCGTTACCTCCGCTGTTTCAGAAAAATTTCGCCTCATGTGCTTCTCTCCCTTTTAAAGCAAAGAGTAAGTGAAGGAAAAATATAAAATTTCGCACATATTTAGTAAAATATTAATTATTTAAAATAATTCATATTTAGTTCAATTAGAAAAATATTCTAATTATTTAATATAATTAATAATATATATCATCTATAATATTATATATGATAATATTATTAATAAATATAATTATTTATATTAATAAATATAAATAATTATATTTATTAATAAATATTATAAAATATTTATATAATTATAGTAATATGTATAAGCATTAGTTTTCATAACATTCTGATATGAAAATGTTATCTATGTGAATGTTATTTTATAAGTAATTTTATGTGAAAGTTAAAAAATAAAAAAAATTTGTGAAGCTTAATCCAGTGTCACGAAAACTATAAGCAGAAGCGTAACGATTTCTTACAGTGACGTAATCAATTCGAATCAGTTTTGGAGTGATTAACAGATTTTTCGTTATAAAAAGAAGCAGTAATCTATGTAAAAAATAAAAAAAAAATTTGCATTTACTTGAAAATAAAAAATCTACGCTTTTTATTTTAAATTTCAAATTAATTTTAAAGTTTTTCTGTATTTTGAAAAAAGTCATTTCTACAATCCCAAAAGCTTACAAAAAAACCTTTTTTTTTTTCGGAATTAATAGAAAGATGACAGAGCCAGTCTGTTTTCAGCGAAAAAATTTATTATTTTAAGTATGTCAGTAAAAAGTAAGTCCATGTTAATATTTATGTAAATAATAACATGGACTTACTTTTAATAAGCAAATATTATGTAAGATTTACGTAAATATTATGTATGTCAGTAAAATTGAGTCCATGATAATATTTATGCAAATAAATTTAGAGAAATTTTTAAAATAGTTCCTTGCATTCTTCTATCTTTCTATTTAGTATGAACTGATTTTCAGTATTTCACAAAATGAAATCTTTTTCTCTGAGCTAAAATACAGCAGTTCAGTAGTTAAAAATGAAAAATTCGTAACACCTACGCGAATATTAAAGGTTAATTACTATAAAATTTATTAATTTTTTTAAGGATTTTTTAAATACAGGCGTTAAATTTGAGCGTGAAGAATGAATATCAATGAACTCCAATATTTCGGTCTTTTTCCACGTAATCGATAATCCTGGTCACTGGGAATCGAAGAGATGACATAAGCAAACGAAACGAGTTCTGATTCGAGTTCACAAATTCCAAAAATTCCAAAAAGAACTGAGCAAGCAATTCCAAGGATTGACGAAGGATAGCGATCGTAGTCTCTATTGTTAAATAAAATAGTGAAGAAATAAAAGTCGAAGTTTTAGTATTAAACAAGACTAAGTGAAATGCGATAGTGAAACGATTTGAAAGAATTGCGCAGTTAGTTTTTATTAGGAGCATAGCCTCTAATAAAAAAACTAGAGTATAAATTCAGATTCATTGAATAAAGCTAAGGAGTAATGAACAAGAGAAATAATCTGAAAAGATATTGAACAGGTGCTCATTGTGAATCCCCTAATACAAAGTGTCAAAACTAGGATATTGAAAAAGACAAAAGGAGAAATGAGCGAGTGATAGTGAGCAAGACGAGAAATCACAACAGCTCAAGATTTAAAAAAAATAAAAATGTCTTTGAGTGTTTGATTGTAGTGTTTTCGGAAATAACAGAAGTCTGTAATTGGTTGAGTTCTGTACCACGAAGCGAGTGAATATGCTCTGATTAACTTTCAAATTGAATTGTGACGTTGCAAATATTGACTAGAAATTGTCAACAAAGTCCCCTTTCTAGTCCACCAATTTAATTTATATTACTTTAAGCGATAAAATATAAAAATTGAAGAGAATTAGTTTCAACCAATTTCTTTAAATTTCTAGCTCTTGCGAAATAAAAATTTAAAAATACGAAATCTTTGAGTGAGCTGAATATGCAAAAAGTGTAGTTAAGATTAAAGGGCATTAGTTTTTGATCACATTCTGTCCTAAACTATTGGATCACTAATTTTCCGATTGTGTATTTTGAGAGTATAATATTCAAAGCCTCCAAAAAATGCATGTTTATTTAAAGAAAGTGCGTTTTATGTCTGATTTCGTAACTTAAAATTTTGCTTGCGCAAATTAATTAACATATGCAGAGATGATTGTTCTCCTGATTTTTCGCTAACCGCGATCCGGAAGTTTTCGGAAATCCAAGTTCCAGATGTTTCAAGAAACCATCGATCACATTTATGTATAAAAATTCATGTATATTATATTTAAAAATATTAGAACTGGAATTTATGCTTGGAAACTTTTTCATTTGCAAATATTTTTTTAGTAGAATAATAAATGTGGTTATAGAGATAAAAATGAACTTATACATAATTATTCATTTAAATAATGCTGTATATAACTTATTTAGAATTTCATGTCTTGACGTTAATTTTTTGAAATGGGTCATACTCAAAAAAAATGTTCAGAATTAGGCTCACAAATCACCCCTGCATATTTAAGGTCAGATCATTAAGAGAGAGTCCGTGAAAATCTATTCATTATATTAATAATTATTAATTTGTTTACTTTTTGCGCTTTGTAAAACTATGAGAATGGTAAAAATAAGTTAAACAAATGTCTATCATTTAAGTAAAACGTTGTTCATAATACTACAATTTTAAGTTGTATTAGGTATGAATTTAAAACAGCTATGAACAATTCTCATAACTCTCATATGTTTTAAGAATTTATTAAAATATACTTTACCGACGTCTTTGAAGAGGAAAATATTTACAACTGTTCCTGTTAAAAGTAGACCACCAACAACTAAAAAAGGAAGACTGAAACCTCCAACCTGAAAATACATTTTAATAATTTTTTATAATTTATTTTTAAATTTTATATAAAATTCATTAAGATATATACATTTTTTTAAAATTATTTTGGATCCATCAGGTTTTTTTATGTTAAAAGAAATTATACTGCTTAGCCTCTTTATAATTAAAAAAAAATTGCGTCGTAATTACAAAGCAAATCCAATTTCCGCATTGAATTTTTGACAGCATTACTTTTTAAGATTCCTCTTCGATGATAATTTTTTTTAACTATAAAATTATATATCTCAACAAAAGGTACTATTTAATAATCACTACCTAAATTAAAAAAATAACTACATGAAATTGATGTATATTTTAGATATTTATTTTAATTTGTTTCACTCATATAAAAATGTATTCTGAATTTTAATACATATTTTATTTAAGAAAAAGTTATAAAAAATTTACATTTATATTTATAAATTTTAAAAAATTATACCAAACATTGCTGAAGAAATATTAAAGTATGAATATATTTTTTAAATAATTTAAAAATTAATGATTCTGAATTCTAATAATTTCAGTTACTTCAAAACTCGGATAAATCAACTTCATAAAATATCTCATGGAAGGTATGCGAGCATTATTGAATTCTAGTCAAATTTTACAACAGCAAGAAAGATTTGAAAAACATATGCAAATTTTGAAGCATTCCAAAAAGTACTCTCAATTAGACATTGGCAAACACACATCAGAGAGAAGGAAAATACCAATTTTAAATGAATCACATTTAAATAATATAAACTTTTTAACACAACTTAATCCTTTGATGCAGAATTTGTATTAAACATATTTTTCATACTTTTTTCCTTATTTTGTATTAAATTAGGTAAAAATAAGAGAAAAATATTATATGTAGCATTTTAATAATTTGTGGTTAGGAAATACAGCATAAGACTCCGTTCTCTTTTTTCGGCATTTAAGGCAAAATCTTACTAACATGGCTCACTTCCAGGCAATAATTTTTCAAATTCACGCTTATTTATAGTTATTTAGGTTTAATATGAGAGCTGTTTTTAAATTAAGGTTCGTTTTGTTGAGTACGCTAATAGATGACGCTTACGTCACAACGAGTAGTTGCTGCGTGTCTCAGCATTCCTCGGCATTCCTTGTGTACGTACCCTGTACTGTCAGTTCTGTGTCTTTAAAATGCTCAAATTAAAAAAATCACCAGCCGCGTATGAGATACTGTCAGTGATGCGTTTTTTGTCGGCAAAAAGCCTGTCTGCTGCATACATTCACCGACAGATTTCTGAAGCTTACGAAGCTTTCTACTGACATGCTGACAGAAATCTCTATGACAATGACTCTCTCCACAGCTCAGTTTTATTGACTCTTTCGGCTGGGAAGTTTTGGACCACCCCTCATCAGCCCAGACCTTGCGCTAAGTGATTTTCATCTTTTCCGATGTTCTAAGTATCGTTTACTAGTACAGCGGTTACGAAGACGGGAAAACGGTTGTAACCTCTTGGATATCGCAGCAGGTGGCAAGTTACTATGAAGAGGGTATTCTAAATCTAGTTGAAGGGTATGACAAGTGTTTAAGTAAACTTGGCAACCATTTTGAAAAAAAGAGAAACGTATGTAGAATCAAAAAATTAATTTGCTGTATGAAAATTTTCTTCCATTCGGTTTTTTTTTTTTCAAACGGCCATTATTTAAAAAATAGCCTTCGTATAAACAGTTATTCATCATTGAAATTTACAAAATAAATTATTGATAAACAAAAAAAAAATTTTTCAAACTACTTATTTTGGAATTAATGTTTCAGTTTAAATATAATTCCGTCAATCTTACCGATGTTTTAGTTTTAGTAACTATTAGATAACTTATACGTATTAGTTCAAACAGTAGAGAATTCGAGGATAACAATGATATGAATTCAAAAATGCATGATTAGCATTTTAAAGCTACCAGAGCATTAATTATATCATCGGTCATCAAAACATTTGCTAAACAAAGAATTTACTTGAAGGTAGTAATTTAAAAAAAAAATCGAAAATGTGTGAAATTAGATCTGATTCTATTAAAGTTATAACTCCGACTATCCGAAAATATCAGTTTCAGACATGTACAGTTAGTTATAGATTCAAAAGATTAACCTGAAATGTGCTAACTGATTAGGGTTAACTATAAAGGAATTAGAAACATCATTAAGCTAAGGAATCAGATTCATTAAACTAAGGAATCAGACACAGTAAACGTACTTTTCTGAATAAACATACCTTCTTTTCAATGGATTTGTACTTATGACTTTCAAAATATGGGGAGTAGCATCAATCTTAAAAACATTGTCCTAATAGTTTTCCCCAATTTTAGCACAAATTTAATTCCGATAATCTAACAGATTTTTTTTACTAACTATTGGACTGTTTTCTTTTAATTAAATAAAACCAAAATATATTTTTGCTTATAATTAGAGTGTTAAAAGGTATATATAAAGAAAAACGTAGTGTCCTTTCTGCGTCAAAGAATTAATGGGAATATGTGGAATGAAATATATTACCTGAAACAGCATGCCACCAATAACTGGTCCAATAGCAAGTCCAAAGGAAAAAGCTGTTTCTATGATTGCCTATTATGGGGAAAAAGAGAAGAAATTATAAGCTATTTTTAAGGAATTATTTATTTTCTTAAAAATTTTACTTTAATAGCAAATATAGTCAATTTATTTTTGTTCTAAAGTAGCTTGGAGGAAAAAACAAATAATTTTTAACTGTCCTGCTTTCATGTCAATTAAATTAATTCAAAAAATATTAAGGGCATATTAATGGGTTAAAAGCAGTGTTAAAATTTTGACGTCGAAAATAGATTTTTGACTCATAATCCTGGAAACTTTAAAGCTTGGTTGAAACCATCAAAAACCTAGAATAATAGTCACGACGATTTAAGACGAACTAGATCGAATGTAAGAGATCAACTCGAACACGAACCCGGACTCGTGTTCATTAACTAGAAGAAGCCTTAGAGATCACGCTCATGATAAATAATATCTCATAAAATTTATTCTACTTTCAAACTAAACGAACATAAAAAGAAATTAATTTTGTTTAGTTAATAAGAAATTTAAAACTATAATGTGTATAAATTGAAGAATATTATATGCTTTAAATTTATGCATTTTAGTTTTTTTTTTCACTCCAAAAAAGTTTTAACTATATCTTTGTGAATTTCGGCCTTCATCTGAAATAAAAATTGGACTTGGCGGGTTTAATAAATATTCTACTGATTTCGAGCTCTGATTAAAAAAAAGCTCGACTACTCAAATAGTGGGCCCGAAATCCTCTCTAATGCTTATTTTATTTTTATTTAATAACCGTCATTGAACAGTCGACCCAATTTTGGAGTTTACGGCTTCTAATGTTCAACTCCATAGCCTTGTAATTTCAACACGATCCAGTTGATAAGGGAACTCTAAAATCAAGTATTGGGAAAAATTTTCCTTCGTGGAGGATTTTTTGATGGAAATAATCCGCATTTGCGTTACACAGAGAGGAAAACCGCAGAAACTTCTTACGGTTAGACTGACGGCAAGGGGTCTCTCACCCTTGACCTGTCTACCATTGAGGATATTTTACGTCAACACTGCAGTCAGTGCAAGCCGGGTGCGTAATACGTATCGACCATCCATCGCTGGGATTCGAACCCGGTTCACTTCATTGAGAGGTGAACGTTTTTTTCCCTGAGCCACCACGGCTCCTCTAATGCTTGATTAAAAAATCTCATTGGCTTCAAAAATCGGCACTAATAAACTAAATAAATAAATTTAAAGTCGACCTATTTCACGAGGTCAAAAATAGACACTCATTCTCAGGACTCGATAAACGTAAAAGAGGAAAAGAGGAGAACAAAAGGAATTTGAAAGAATTGCTAAATTCGTAAAGTTATCTACGAAAATTAAGAAATAAAATTAAAAGACAAAATTAGAAAAACCGGATAAGCTGAGAATGAAATAGAATATAAAAAATAAATAAAAGAGAAAATAAAACCCGAAAAACTGCTGAGCAGGGCAAATAATGCAAAATATATTTTCTCGCCCTCTGGTGAGGAAATATTGTCGCTAACATAACACTGCGGCTCTTCTAATCGTGTTTTTCCCCTTTATTTATTTTCCATTATTAGTTTCATTTTTGGCTACCGAAGTTTTTCTAGTTATGTTTTTAAATTCTATTTTCCATTTTTCGTTTTCTGTTTTAAATTTCTTTTGTTTTCTTCATTCATGTCTGGTAAGAGTGCTTCAAACATGTCGACTTTTATTACCATCTTTCTATATTTTAAAGTAAATCAAACTTTTATTATTAAATGCTTAATACTTAAAGCGATGATAAAACTATTATATGAATACAAAAAACTTTTTTTAAAAATTGTTTTATTTGGTTTATTTTTAAATTAGTAATCTAAATAGTAAAGGAAAATCCCCGAAACAGAGGGCTATCTTAAAATAGTATGTGTATTCTAAAAAAGCTTCCTTCTCTTCCAAATCTAGTGTGGGGGGGGGAATTCGATGTACAACTGCTCTGGAATTACATGATTAAAACTTATGCAAATGACGCAATTTTTATCAAAACAAAATATTTCTTCACAGTGGTAAGCGGAAAAGGCTTAAAGTTTAATTCTGTTCTGAATAACAGTGCTTTTGAAAATGCAAAAATTTTGAAGTAAAAGCATATTTTTAGGTCAATATTGTATATTTTTCTGATCACTAGAGCTGAACTTAGTGGACTTAACACTATTTTTCGAAACTCTGTTGCCAAGGAAAATAAAAAAAAAATCCATAGTTTAAGTGTTTTGCATTTGAAGCAATGCGATGATTTTATACTATATATATAATCTTGCCGTGAAGAATCTGGGCTTCAAAACTGACAAATAGCTTAAATATTTAAAAAGTTACAAAACTTATTTAAAAATTGCGACATTTTCCCGCTTAGAATATCAAAATCGCTGCCTTATTCTCAGTTTTCGCAAATTTTTATAAGCAAAGGTAATGCAGCTTTGGAGTAGGTTTCTAAATATTAAAAAAATTAAATAACAAGTGCTTTTCATTTTCACAAAACTGTGGCTTTTCTCCATATTGACGTTTTGCGTCATTTTCAAAATATGCGTTGACAACACTGGGTTTTAGATGGGACCTGACAGTAATGACTATCTGTTGCAAATTCACAGCAGCTGTAAGAATAGCATATTATTCGCAAAGAAACATCATTTCATAATACGGCGGAGCCTTCGAAAATCAATTTTTTTTTCTGTTTGTCAGGGGCGTAGTCAAAAGAGGTATGCGAGAGCTTTACCCTCCTTTTGTTTTATAACATTATTCAGGGTAATTGCATTGCGGGAAAACCCTGATTCTTAAGCGATAACATAGTCGTGAGTAACTGCCTTTTTTTTCTCTTTTTTTTAAGGAATGTAATTAAGAGTGTTGAGCTAGAACGTTTGTACAGATAAATAACGCCTTCTCTTATAAAAGATAAAAAAATAATAATAAAGCGGGGAGAGATTGTAGAAAACATTACTTTACATCATTCATGAAATCAGCAAATCTGCTTTATAAAAAACATTTTAATCTGATATTTTTAGAAGTTTTGAAGATCACGAGATCCAGTTTCTGAAAATTGTTTTACGTGAGAAAAATAATGTAGCATTCTTTTAAGAAAGAAGTATTTCAAAGCGAATTAATTTATCTCTAACATTTCTGCATTTGTAGAAGCAATTTGTAAGGCAAATAATTACAGACTTTAATTCTGGAGGAATAATTCCCCCATACAAAAATTCCCAGAATCGTCAAAAATGTTAAGTTTCATTATCAATCATATTATTATAAGCATTCCTAGACTCCAAAAAAACTATGATTTTCTTCCAAGCACTTATAAAAATGTTTTCTTTTATACTTAAAATCTCATCAACGTATCTCTTTATCTTATAAACATAGCTTTTAAACGAAATTCTTAGTTTTTGTACAAATTTTCCGTTAAAAAAATTGTTAAAAATTTTTTTTTTTCAATTTGGATAGTGTGACGATAAGCATATCACACAGAAAGCCATTGCGTGTCCTTTTTGGCACGCGTGCTGTGAGTTGGCAACCCCAAAACAAATCGATCGAGTCATTCTTAATATACACAGGCGATCAAATAAATAAATGTTTTAAGATAAATGTTTTTAAAAAGCTTTGTTATTGTAATCAGTATACCTTGTTTATTTTAAACATTAAAAAAGGCATCTATATGCATGCCTTCTTCATCCAAAATATCTATATATTCTCATTACTCAAAATATCTAATATGTTTGTCCGCTGCCATTTAAATTATCTAATATGCTTGTCTTCTGTCATTTGGATTTTCTAGTATGTAATCTTCCTTTATCCAAAATGTGTAATAATTATGAAAGCTAAATTAACATAATAGTAAGCAAATTTCGCATTTCCTCCCACGATATACACCGCTCTGGCGGTTACGTTAAGTTGCAAGCGCTCTTAAATATTTTATTCGTAGAATTTAAAGAAGTTGTAATTCATTGCAATAATTGTAATTTAAGATCGAAATTGAAATCAAAATTATTATGTAACAATTGAATTATCGTCTGCTTAATAATTGGGATTCATGATTCAAATTGAAATTGGAATTTAAACTACAATGTAATAATTAAATTTTTATCTATTTAATATTTGTAGTTAATGATTCAAATTGAAATTATTACATAATATTTGAATTATCATCTACTTAACAATTGTAACTCATGATTGAAAGTGAAATTGTAATTTTAATTATTTAGTAATAATTGAATTATGATTTATGAAATAATAATAATTCATGAATTTATTAATACTTTTTATTTTCTGCAAAGTTTGCTTAGTTGTACAATTTTTTTTCTAGTACTTTTTATTAGTTACTTATTCAATGGGTTCCTACTTAAGCTTTATATATACTCTTTATTTTTCAAAGCAAAATAAATTTATTAAAACTCTTCAAGTATAGAATTTGCGGTAGTGAACTCAAATATGAAGGTTTTTGGGGAAAAAAACATTATAAAGATATCGTATTTGTTAAGAATTTTTATTAAATACATTTGAAGAATTAAGTAGAGGAATGGTTTATGTCCACCAAAGCTGATTCTGAGGGGGAAAAGAATTTGAGCGCAGACAGAAGTGTTTTTTTATTCCATGGTATGGCCCATCTCCACTATTTAATAACTCTCGGGAAGAACCGACTTTTCACGTTATTGATTTGTCAAATGTTAATAATCCTCCAAATGCAACAGATGGTGTTCCAACCGTCATTTTTGTGAAAAATAGACATAAACCATTCTTCTTCCCTTTTAGTCTCCATTTAAAAACCATTTCAAGAGGTTATCAAATGAGGAAATATAATTATACTGCAATGTTTAATAATCTTACCATAGCACGACCAATTATATCAGGTAGTTCGCACCCCAATGTTGTATAGGAAGCTGTCAAAAAGGCTGATGCTCCTAATGCATCAACTGCCCGCACAAGCATAGATAAGGCAATGAAACTGTTCCCTGAAGGGGCGTAATGCATGAAACTAAAACAAAATATATTAAATAAGCATCAAAAAAGTTACTTATGATCCTTTATCCAAAAAATGGACAAGGGTGATAGCGTCAGAAATACAGTCGTGACAGCAGCACCACCCTTTAATGCTGTAAATTAAGGTAAAAAGACTGTACCGCAGCTTGCGTATAACTTATAAACCATGTCATATAACATCATTTAAAGTGAATATAAAATCGAGCTAAGGTAGATGCATCTGAACAGAACAACATGAAGTTTTACAACATGCAGTATAACAATTTTTAGTGGAGGAAAAAGAGCGCAATGCGAACATTTATCCTCGAATTGAAAGCTGTTTATAGCAGACACTGTCAAGTACAAATGAATGTGAACAAATGGAAAATGAATAAGATTTCGTGAAGGATGTACATCAATATCGAATCCGCCTAGATCAAGGAGAAGCCCATGTATAAATTGCTGCTAATTATTATAGGTCATTATTATATATTATTATCATTATAGGTCAAGGAGGTACGGCTAGTGATATCTGTTCGACTATTTGTCTGAATAAAGGAAAAAATTTGAGTAATGACCACACAAAAAAATCATATTTATTCACGTCTTTCTTAGCTCGGCTTTGCTTTCTTTTGGAATGCTTTCATGTTAAATGCTTAATCAGTTACAAGCAGGTCGTGATGTACATAACTTATCTTTTTAATGTCCAGAATAATATCATTGCTATCACTACTGCTGTCATTTTTATCGGTATCACATAAGTGTATTTTTCATTTGAGCATCCTTTGCATAAATACACTTTTATATTTTCACAATTAGCACTTTTATTAACTTTAATGAAAAACTATCTGCCAATAACTTATTAGATAGGAATTTATTTCAAAGCAACATCTTCAACCGGCAGTTAACCGCAAAGACTTAAGGGGGAGTTTTTAAACAACTTAGACTAAGTAATTCTGAGTAGTTAGCAATTTTAAGCTTACGACTATCATTGTTTAACTCAGTAGCCTTGTAACTTTGAACCCAACCCGGAAAACAAGGGAACTACTGGATCGGGACGAACTAGCTATCGTTGGGGACTTTTTGATGGAGCTAACCCGCATTTGCATTACATGATGAAATAAACCACAAAAATCTTTCACTGTGTGAGTCGGGAGCAGAATTTCTGCAAACCAGCTACCGCTGGTATTCGAACCCGTGTCACCTAATAGGGAGGCGAAAACTCTATCCCCCGTGAAAACTAATCTGAAAAGTCCATCATATATATCTTCTTTATAACTAGATACATAAAATGTTGAAAATGTAGAAAAATGAGCAAAATTAGCCCAGATATATCAATTTATTGTTTTTTGTTCTCACTCACCTAAAAAGAATGACACAAACACCGGACACAAACATTCCTACTTTCATCATGAAACCAGGTTTTAGGACAACAATCTGAAAATAAAGGGATAAAATTTAGTAACTAATAAAATTTTAAATTTTTTAAAAATAAAATTTAGTATCTAAAAAAATTTAATATTCACAAAAATAAATTTAGTAAGTTAGTAACTAGTGTGACTTAAAAGTATTTAATTAAAAAGAAATGATTTGAAGCATTCATAATTAAATTTCTTTTCGAAAAAAAAGATGTAGATTACTTACAATTTTGCCATAAATAGGAGCTGATATAGACATCATAAGTTGATAAACACCAAACACTAATCCATAAGCACTGGCAGTACAATGCTTCCTTTCTGCCTGGAAATAAAAATAAGTTAGCAACAATACACAACTCAAAATACAATACTCTTATTTTACTAAAACAATTTCCAGCGATCGTCAAAAATTTTACAGGAAAGACAAAAAGGAAAATTACCATGAACAAAGCGTATGAAATTGGGCAAATGCTTTTAAAAAGGGTTCGCTAGCAATATTATCTAGAAAATCTTTGTACTGTTATGTAAAATAAATGAAGCATTTTATTCCTTTGGGGATTAGGGTGGGGTCACTTTGAACCTAACTGGACATTTTATAGTATGCTTAAATTATTTTTAACCGACCGGCCAGTGTAGGGGGCAGGGAACTGTCCTTGCATTAGAAAGGTTCTGGGTTCGAATCCCGGGCAAGGCATGGATGCTTCTTTCTCTCTATCTGTGTTCTATATCCTTTGTGAATGTGATCCGCCCTATAAGCGGGCTGTGGTAGTGTGACGTGGGCGACGCTGTATATATATATATATATATATATAGCATAATAAATAAGTAGGAAAGGGAGCGAAAAAAAGCAATAAGTTTTATTTACTGCGCATAAGCTACAGGCAAATAGGACTCATAAAGTATGTTCAAAAGTAGAGAAAACATGGAAAAATTACAGAACAATGAAAAAAGGGAAAAAGAAAAAATGATAATTATGAAAATAACAAAAATCCGGAAAAAATATCCGAAAAAAGGAAGAAGAAAAAATTGCAGACTCAGAATTTTTTTTTCAACACTTTTTATATTAATTAGAGCAAATTATGTCATTAATGTCATTTTATACTTTTAACACATCAATATGCTAAAGATAATATTAGTTTATTCAAAACATTTTTCAAACATCAACCATTTTCACACATAACTTAACTTAATAATTACACTGAGAAAAAAGTACGGCCAAAACTACAAGAAGTGGTAAAATTTACCGTGTTTCTGGATCTATGGGACCACTAAAAAGCTGGGTAATTTTCACATAAGTGCTTTGGTAATGATTTTGGTAAAATTAACATTCAAATAAGATTTTATAATATGTGATAAAATTTAGTAAATGTGTAAAAATTTGTAATTTTATCATGATACATTAGATTATCATGATACATTAATTTTATCATGATACATTAATTTTATCATGATACAATTTTGTATTTTTTACGAAATGTGAGGTGATAAAAACTATAATTTAACAAACCAGAATTTAGGATAAACCGTTACTCAATAAATGGAAAAATTGCTAAATGAATAGAGGCATTTAGATTTACTTCCAGAATAATTTTTTTCTTGGCAAAAATGTCATCACCATGCGATATGGTAATTTTACCAGAATATCTTTCTCCTTGTAACATTGATTTAAGTTGGAAAGCAATAAAAAAGTATTTAAAGGAATGTATGTAAAGAATTAAGCAGTGATTTAAAGAAATTTTATTGGTATTTCCAGTATTTTTATTTATTTTATTTAATTAATTTATTTCATAAAGTTTGAACTCGCATTTTTCCTAATATAGTTTGCATACCTTTAATCATTAAAAGATGAACGCAGTATAATAAAAAAATCCAATAAGCAAATATGTATGTCTTATGAATGCTTGACAAAAATTAACTATTAATAGTATGCATATGAGGCATTGCAAATAAGTATTCAAAGGAGGAAGAAAACTATTTAAATCTAACAAATCACTAGTGAAGAGTGCAGGGTTAAAAACAACAAAAAGTGTTTGATAAAATAGAGCCTATTACTTGAGACTTCTCCAAGTTTTTAAAGCTTATCAAACTGGTTTTGATGTTTTTTTCTTACCCCCCTCTCTAACAAGTCATTTGACAGATTTCGACAACTGTTATAGTTCTGCTTTACTTAAATATTGATTTACGACCCTTAATGTATATACATTTTTTGCTTAATTTTCTTACCAACTGCATTGAAAATTAGAAACAACTCTATACACTATTTAAATTTAATTTCAATATTATCATTTAATAAATGAATTTTGCCAGTGGGAATAAAGATATTTCCCTTCAAAATTCACTTCCAATTTTTTTTAATAAATCATTTGCACAAAGTAGCATCTAATTCCAAATTTTTAGCTGATTTCATTGGTTTTCTAAGTTGATTCCATTAAATTATATTCCTTTTCTGCCTTAGTAATGCTTACGCTCTTTTCATTCTCACTAACATGTTGTATTTTTTAATTTTTTTTTTTTTTTTTTAAACGCTTCCTTTAAANTAATTTTTTTTTTTTTTTGTAAACGCTTCCTTTAAACAGAAATAGAAGCTATAATGGTCAAACTACCGCAATAACAATAATAATAATAATGAAAACGGATGAAACAATGAAAATTAAACCTTTCAGATTTCTTTAGCAAAACCAAAGCAAACAACTCTGCCAACTTGAGACATTTATTTGTTCTTCATGTAAAATGATCAATTCTAACAAAAAAAGAAACCGAAGTGTCACAAATCAATCGAGTTGAATTTTTTTTTCTTACAAATAATAATATTTTAGATTAGGAGATAGTATATAAAATTTATTTTGTTAACTTCAAAGTAATAATCAATTCATTAAAAACTGTAATTTTGGCCTTAAATAAGTCGCCAATTTCTATTCTTCCAGAAACGAAGTGCTTTGCTGGCTGTTAAGGGTTGTTTTAAGGCTTCATTTTAATCAGTTACTTTATTCTCAGCATATAAAAAAGCTCAAACTTAAAGATAAATAAATAAAATAAAAACTCTATCTTTTATGTAATAAACTCTTAAAGCACTTCCTTAATTCTGCATTTTGCAAGCAAATTTCAGATAACAATTTAATAGCTGAATTAGAGCTATAACGAGAAATCGTTTAAAATTTTTATCTGAATCTATATTTAATTAATATGGTTTTAGGTATCTTTAAATTGAGTTTTCCAATTTGTTATTCGGTATTACTCACTTGGCGATTTACTATTTTACAAATGTTTTAGTCCAAGCTCATATTTTCAAAAATTTATAGCTCCACTATCAAAACGAAATTTTTAAAAAAAAACATCTATTGTTTCTTTACATAAGAGACTAAGTTTTTGAGAAAAAAAATTCAGCCTAATGTGGGATTGGCACTTTAGGAGATTTCCTTGTATGTAGTCATTTATTATAAAAATTATAAAAAGTGATTTTTACTTTGAGAGCATTACCCATATCTGAATTAAGACAACATAATGTTAAAATTAAGAAAAGACCAAAATAAAAAATAATACAAGCGAGTATTTTAAAAGAGATTTTTTTTAGAATTTATAAGGTTAAGAAATAATATATATATATATATATATGTTAAATT